AATATCGGGCAGGCCAGGATGGGCGCCGATGGCTATGTTGTGCTTTTTGCATGCGAGCACCGTTTGATGCATGATCAACGGATCCCTGATGCACTGTTAGACTGAGTCGATGATATGACCATAGGTTTTTGCCTTACCCGGCGTGGAAACCACATGCTATGTTCGCGTGGTCAATGAGTGGAATCAACTCATCGTCTGGACCACATTTGAAGTTTCCGTAGCCTTCTCCTAGATCTACGTTGATCTTTACGGCATGTTTGATAGCTGGCATTGTGGAAAACTCTTTCTGTGAAAACGTGTCGGCAAATGGACGCGATATACTACGGTCGAGATGTGAGATACCTTGTGCTGTTCCTAGAGTATGCCCAGGCAGGCGTGATCGAATGCGCATCCAATCGTAACGGCACGGTTGGAGTAGTTGGAGTAACCTTCTCGGATCGGAGGTCACACTTTCAAGCTACTCGGCGAATTTACACAGCCATTCGACCCATCTATCAACTCCCCACTCCCCCAATAGTTGATCAAACGCACTTCACGCGCGGCGTCATGCCCTAATGCTTGTTATCGAAGTCGACCCCGCCTCTCGAAGCTCCGTGGTGACGTCTTCAGACTCGGGGACACTTCGGCAGGAGTGGTGTATGCCGAATCACCAATTACAACGCCTTCGCTCCAACGGGTGGAGGTAAGATATCGGCGCGAAAAGGGAATGGCGGAAAGAACGGAAAGTGTGGGGTCATGATACGCTACTGCATTGCCTCCAACGACGAGCTTCATAGAGGTCGCATGCTCTTGAGAGTGTTGGATGAAATAGTTGCGTTGAAAATACTTCGATCCAATGTCTAATATTGAGAAACTACGAGTGCTATTGATTGCGAATCGTGGGGAGATTGCGGTACGTAAATTGCGCCGCGGAATGATTCCGTTATCGATAACTGACATCACCTGCACGGACAGGTGCGCATAATCAGGACTGCAAGGAAACTCGGTATCAAGAGCATCGCCATCTATTCTGAAGCTGATGCTGCATCGCAACACGTGCGTGATGCCGATGAAGCCATCCTCTTGCCTGGTAGCAATGCGACTGCGTATACGGACGAAGAAGCTGTTCTGCGGATAGCTAAGGAAAAGGGGGTAGATGCTATCATTCCAGGTTACGGGTTCCTTTCGGAGAATGCGCCCTTTGCGAGACGAGTGGGTGATGCAGGTATCGTATTCGCAGGGCCGTCTCCAGAGGCTATCGAGGCTTTTGGCGTCAAGCACACCGCTAGAGACCTTGCGGAAAAGGCCAACGTTCCAATCGTACCTGGAACTAAAGGCCTGGTAGAGAACGAGGAAGCCGCCGTAAAGGAAAGCGAGCGCATCGGTTTTCCTGTCATGTTGAAGGCGACTGGTGGTGGTGGCGGTATGGGACTCATCACCTGTCACAAGGTCGAAGAGGTGCGCGAGGGGTTTCGGATGGTGCAATCAAGAGGAAAGACCCTTTTCAAAAATCCCGGAGTGTTCATCGAAGCCTTCTACCCTGCTAGCCATCATATTGAGGTCCAAGTATTCGGCAATGGCCAAGGTAAAGCAATTCACTTTGGCGAACGCGAATGCTCCATTCAAAGACGACATCAGAAAGTCATCGAAGAGTGTCCAAGTCCGTTTGTGGAACGGCAGCCAGAGCTGCGAAAGAAGTTGGGGGAAGCCGCAGTACGCCTAGCTGAATCGATCAAATATGGTTCTGCAGGCACCATCGAATATCTCGTAGACGATAAATCCGGCGATTTCTTCTTTCTAGAGATGAACACGCGACTCCAAGTCGAGCACGGCATTACAGAACTCTGCTACAATGTGGATCTGGTAGAGCTTATGCTAAAGCAAGCAGATGCACAGTTGGCGGGCAAGCACGGGCTCGATGGCGAGACCTTGAAGCATATGCAGCCATCAGGTCCAACAGGTTCGGCTATCGAAGCTCGAGTCTACGCTGAGAACCCGCTAAGGGACTACGCACCATCTCCCGGACTGCTGCAGAAAGTGGCATGGAAGGATGTTCCTGGAACTCGCATTGATACCTGGGTTTTCACAGGTAAGTTGTGCCTGTACGAAATGCACGTGAGACATACACTGACTTCGTATCTTCAACTTTGCAGGAGTTCGTATCACTCCCAATTACGGTATGGGGCTCTATTCTTCTTTACATTTGTGATACACGGATCTCATCATGAGATCTGAGCCTAGATGGAGTTCGTCAATCATGTGCTAACAAACCCTAGATCCTTTGATAGCGAAAGCAATGGTTCACTCCCAATCCAGAAACGGGGCTATCGCGTCGATGAGGGAGCTTCTTACACAATCTACTATAAGCGGTCCACCTACAAACCTCGAATTTCTCGCCAGCATACTGGACGATTCGCATTTCAAAGAGGGCAACACTATGACCAGCTTTCTGGAAAGCTTCAACTATACGCCTCATGCTATCGATGTCATCTCAGCTGGCGCATATACCTTGATCCAGGATCTTCCTGGGAGGCCGACAGTCGGTAAAGGTGTGCCTCACTCTGGGCCAATGGACCCAATATCGTTTCAGATTGCGAACATGCTTGTTGGGAATCCGCGATCGAAGGAATCTCTAGAAATCACGTTAAGTGGACCAGAACTGAAGTTTGTTGGTCCTGCTATCGTAGCTTTGTGCGGCGCTCCCATGGAGGCAACACTTGACGACAAGGAGTTTCCCTTGTGGGAGAGCGTGAAAATCGAGGCTGGTCAAAAGCTCAAAATCGGAAAAACAACAGGTGGAGGTTGCCGCTCCTACCTAGCCATCTACGGAGGCTTTCCGTCAGTTGCAGAGTACTTTGGCTCAAAGTCAACGTCGCCGCTTGTGGCGATTGGAGGCTACCAAGGCCGTGCACTTGCCCCCGGTGATTTACTACAGATAATGAGCAAGCTTCCAGAAGACTTCACAAGTATTTCGCTTCCGGAAGAGCTGCGACCGGTCTATAAGACAAACTGGGAGATTACGGCTATGGTCGGACCTCATGACGAAGGCTACTTCGACCCGAAGTTTATCGAGGAGATATACAACACTGAGTGGAAGGTATCTCACAATGCATCGCGGAGTGGAATTAGACTGATCGGGCCGGTACCGAAGTGGGCCCGTAAGGATGGCGGCGAAGGTGGCGCACACCCCAGCAATCTAGTAGAATACGGATATCCATTGGGTACCTTGAACTGGACAGGGGATGACCCATGTATCTTTCCAGTAGACTGCCCAAACTTTGGCGGTTTTACCAGCAGCACGACGGTCGTCAAGGCAGACTGGTGGAAATTAGGACAGCTCAAAGCAGGCAACACCGTGAAATATATCCGAGTCGGACTGGAGGATGCACTGAAGAAGAGAAAGAGAAACGATAATTTCCTCGACTCAATTGAGCAAGCCATCAAGAGCGAAAACGGATTCGACAGCATCGAGAAATTACAAGGCGCACATTGCAATTTTCACGAGGGCGATATGGGAAAGGCAGTTGTGTGGGAGAGGGAGGGTAACGCGAGTACTCCACAGGTTCGGTATCGTCAGGGAGGTGATGACCATATTCTGGTCGAATATGGTAATGAGGAGTTCAATCTCAATCACCGCTGCCGTGTCACTGCCTTGGAGAACGCATTGCATTCAGAATCAACTCCAGACATCATCAAAGTCAACCTTTACAACACTGTTGGATGCTGTACCACGCTGCTCCTTCACTACAACGGCTCTAAACTCCCTCGTTCGGTCCTCGTCGCACATCTCCAGTCTATCGAGTCAAATCTCGGTGATTTGAGGAACACAAAAGTCCCTACGCGCGTATTCAAGCTACCTCTCTCATTCGAATCGAAACTCCAAGACGAAGCAACTCAACGCTACATGACGAACCAGCGACCACATGCCCCTTACCTGCCCGACAACCTGAGTTTTGTAGCAAAGAATAACGCATTTACACCACAACAACTCAAAGAAATATATCTTACTGGCCAGTTCATGGCGGTTGTTGTGGGCTTCTTCTGTGGCAACACCGTCTCGCTTCCTGTAGACCCACGTCAACGCATTTCGGCCCCTAAGATGAATCCGAGTCGCGTTTTCACACCAGAGGGTACTCTAGGTTGGGCAGGTAGTTGCATGTCCATTTACCCTGTTGATTCTCCAGGCGGATATCAAATGATCGGTCGTACAGTCCCCTGTTGGGATTATTACTCCTACAAACCTGGTTTCGATAATAAGCCATGGATTTTCCGTGACTTCGACATCCTTACTTTTTACCAGGTCAGCGAACAGGAACTCGATGATATTTTTGCCAAATTCCGTGCGGGTAAATATGAATGGGAGTTTGATGAGGTGGAGTTTGACATGGCACAGCACAATCAGCTTCTAGAGAAGACGAAGGACGAAGTGGGGGAGATCAGAAAGAAGCAAGCTGTTGCGCAAGACGAAATGACGAAAGCCGAGAACGAGAGCTTGGAACGTTGGAGGAAAGAGAAAGCTGAGAGTAAAGTTGATGAAGGAACAGTAGAAAAGCTGCTGGACGATCCTGCGATTGTGGGGGTCGAAGCGCCAGTCGATGCGAATGTATGGAAGGTAGAGGTTAGTGAGGGGGACGAGGTTGGTGACGAGACTGTGGTGAGTTTAGATAGGGGATTGTTCATTTGGCGATGCTAACATGACGCAGATCGTTATCCTTGAGGCGATGAAGCTAGAGATTGCGGTCAAGACGCCAGATTCGGTGACGAAGGCTGGAAAACTAAAGGTCGAGAAGATTTTGGTGAAGCCGGGTGATACCGTGACAGCCGGAGGCCACCTGGCATTGCTGCGCAAGAGCTAGCTGGGGAACAGGTCTTAATCAACCACCATCTGCATATGTCTGACTTACTGTGTGATGATGTTGCGTGCACTATGTTCATGTGTCTACAAGCTGAGGTATAGCCAATGTCTCATTCTATATTAACGAATCTGCGCTTCTATCAAACAATTGTTGTCTTCAAACCAGCTAAAATTCCAGTTCCTCCATGTTGAGACGGGTACCGCAGCTAAGTTCCTTAGCCGGCTTCATATCTGCCCTACCCCAATCATAGATAACCCCGCGTTCGACGAACGACTTCTTATCCAAGACAATCTGCTCCATTGCCTTCGGAACGCCAACATCCAAGATAGGACCACTAGACGTCATCATGCCTTCGACTTTATCCATGAAGCGCATATACTCGTCAAGCAAGAGGTAGCTACTAGCCATGGAGTCATTGTCCTCAGGTACGTAGCACGGAAGGTGCTTGTGTCGATCACAGAAGGTTTCCATTGTTCCTCAGTAACCAGAAACTTCCTTGCGTCACGCTTCCGGGTTTCGTTACCATTCTCACCTGCAACAATGAGGCACTGGAAGGCCTTCCATCGGAATGGCGCTAGTTTCTCGATGTTGGCGACCATATCTTCGTCCCAATTGTAGATATTGACTACAGTGTTGAGCTTGAACTTGACGTTGTAAGTCTCTCATCACCACGCGATTCGACATAGCTGGTCTGCGTTTTTCCCGTCGTCACCGCGCCCAATTTTGGCGTTTGTCCGAGCATTAGAAGAGTCACAGGAGATAGCCAGGATATTCAACCACTGAGAGTTCTCCTGCATCCAATTCTCGGTGACCTTGCTACCGTTACTGACGATACTGATGCTTCGACACCCAAATCCTCTTTGCAGTAGCGGATCAGACTAGAGAGAAATTTGGGGTGGAGGAATGGTTCTCCGCTGGCGATATTGAGCTTGCGCATACCGGCTTCTTTCAGAAGTTTCAGGCCTTTAGGAGCCTTGTCGTGCGTTAGAATGTATGAGCTGGTCTCAGTGTGAAAACAGAAGCCACATTTGTAATTGAATTCCTGAGATGGGAAGTAGTTGGCCGAGACAGGAGTATCTGGTGGCTTAGGTGGGTGTGATGCTTCTTGTGCCTCGAAGACCGGACTTTCAGCAGGAACTTCGTGGACAGCAGTTTCATGAGGGAAGTTCTTGACTGGCTTTGAGGCAGACTGTTTGTGGACAATTTAGGCGCATGTTGTAAGAACTACAACGACGAAGAACCGAAGAGCAGGGACTTCTGACAGTAGTGATAGCAGAACCATGACTGATGAATGTCTTGAGAAGCCTACAAGATCGACACCAAGTGCTATATGATAGCCGAGCTCTTCAAAAAAAAACCGAAGAACCGGACGGTGCAGGATGTACTGTTGGTAGTGATTAGGTATGATATAAGTAACAAGAAATTGTGGACATGTCGACAGCGACAAATCGCTTTCGTGCTTGCTCGCAACAACTTCTTTAACATACAAAGCGAGGGCGCTTGCCACAAACGGCAATCAGAACGAACCAACAGCGGAACAGCATGAAAGCGATAATATCAATTCCTTCTTCATGCTTTCGAGCGTGCCGTCCCGCGGTCTTCATCTTGCATGTGGTCTACAGGATGTGTCACATGATGCTAAGGATGGCGCATCTGAGGTATACATGGGCCTTGTTCTACCTTAACTTAGCTCGGTGGACCTAATACATACGACTATCCTTATCCGCACCCTACAGGTTGTCTCAGCGTCGTAGTTGTTAGTCAGTATCATGAATCCATCCAAGCTCCACAGCTTTGCTATCATCTTTGTCCTAGGTATACCCCGACGTCACTGATTTCAACTTCTTAGCTAGATAGTGACCCTTGACTAAGTGCGCCCGGCGCGGGGAAAGGTAGTCTCTGCGCGTACCCAGCTCAAAATTGCAACCTGGTACACTGCTCGGTCAGTGATGATCTTCGCAGCTGGATGCGTAAGAACAACAACAGTCCACTGGCTGTCAGGATCCAGGACAAACTCGATAATCAAGGCTTTCTTACGTCTGAAGACTTGAACCCGTTTATAGGTCGGGCAATTTAAGATGCATCAGCTAAGAAGCCTGTCCAAACGCTAAAGCACTAAGGTCGACGTGAATAGGTCAAAGGAGGAGAGCATCACGGAAATGACGAAGAGCCTTGGCGAAAACGGACTTTGGCAGAAGGTAATGGTCAAAAGACTTGGGGATACGTACTTTCTCGATACATCACTCCGTGACGACCTATGAAGGGCGAGCCATTCATGATTTTCGTAACCCATAGCTCCAAGCAGAAAAGGGGAGCCTTTAAAGGAGAGCTATGGCGAGAACGAGAAAGCCAGTCCGTGACTTTTGACAGGATAACATGGTGAGTAAATGAATTCAATGAAATCGCGCTTAGCTCAACGTGATATTTGCCAGTTTGGAACATTTTCGTATGTTGTAGGGCGGATCTCAAAAATATCACAAGACGGCACAGATTACCACTGCGATGCTAGATGCAGCGATTCGGAGGATTTAACAAGTATTACAAGCGTGAAAACAGTACATTCGTACAACTACTAAAGTATATATATATAAATCCGTCAGACCAATACCAGTCGTCAAGCGTCTTCGAAAGGCGAAGTTCGTTACAGGTGTATCAACTTTCCATCATTGCTGACTTTTTATCTAAAGCTACAAGAAGCTGTCAGCAGGTGTGACCAAAGCAAGCAACTACTACCCAATGATCTAGACTAGACTGACTTGACCACAGGAGCAACGTTGACATCAGGCAGCTTGACGAGCGGGCCGTTGATGTTGGGGAGCTCGGTTTCGGGACTTACGTTGAAGTCGTTGTTGTTGCCGGCAGAGTTGCCAGAGCCGGCAGAGTTTCCGTTTCCGTTACCGTTACCGGCTTGGTTGTTGTTCTACATCGATGTTAGCATGAGAGTGCAGATGACAATATGTTGGAGGAAAGCTTACGCCATTGCCCTGACCGTTGCCGTTGCCGTTGTTGAGAAGCGAGTTACCGCTGCCAGCAGTGGCACCAGTGACGGAGCCTGCGGTGGCGGAGACGGAGCCAACAAGACCGTTGACGGCGCCGGTGACGCCGCCGAGGACCTCGCGCCTCAAGACATTTTTGGTGCCTACGAGACCTCCAACAGCGCCAGTGACAGGCTTGACAGTGTCAGTGGTCGAGTCAGTGTCTCCCTTAGCAGAGTTGACGGTGGTGCCAACAGTGCTCATAACACCGTTAAGTGTGCCAGTGACGCCGGGGAGGAGAGTGCCTGCGCGCTTGATGACATTGTTAACGCCGACAAGACCTCCAACAGCACCAGTGACAGGCTTGACAGTGTCAGTGGTCGAGTCAGTATCTCCCTTAGCAGAGTTGACGGTGGTGCCAACAGTGCTCATAACACCGTTAAGGGTGCCAGTGACACCAGGGAGGAGAGTGCCTGCGCGCTTCATAACACCGTCAACGCCGGCGAGATCTCCAACAGCACCAGTGACAGGCTTGAGAGTGTCAGTGGTTGAGCCAGTGTTTCCCTTGGCAGAGTTGACAGTAGTGCCAACAGTGCTCATAACACCGTTAAGGGTGCCAGTGACACCAGGGAGGAGGGTACCCTCGCGCTTCAAGAGGCCTCCAGTGACGGGCTTAACCGTATCAGTGACGCCGGAAGTGGCATCACTGGTCTGGAGGGCGCCAGTGACCTGGCCGAGGAGAGAGAGGAGCTGGGTCTGGCTCAGCTTGCTGAGGTCAAGGCTGTCGGTAAGACCACGGCTGAGAAGACCCTTGGTGAGAGAGTCGGTGGTAGGGCCGACGGTGACGCCGTTGAGCACGTGGCCGTCAAGGACGCCACCGACAAGAGGTCCGGCAACCTGGACGCCCTCGACGGTGCCAACAAGACCACGCTTGGCGTTTCCTAGGATGCCACCGAGAGGCTTGAGGTTGAAGGTGTTGCCATTACCAGCAGCGTTGCCGGTACCAGCCTGGTTGTTGTTACCGTTGGCATTGCCAGCAGAGTTTCCGTTGCCGTTGTTCTGGCCGTTGTTGTTGCCGTTGCCAGAGATCAAGTTGTCACTGCCAGCGCTGGGGTTGGTGACAGAGCCGACAGTGCTGGTGAGACCACCAACGAGGCCAGAGACAGCAGCAACCTGAGGAGTAGGGGCTGCGAGAACCGAGGCGGAGAGCGCAAAGACGGATACGGCGATTGTGGAACGCATTTTGATAGTTTTGTTGATAGTCGACAAGGAAGGACGAGTATTAGAAGTCTAAAGCGAAGTGAGCGACAGGCAAAGAACGAAAGTGAATGTGATGAGTTGGATGATGACTGTTTGGTGGTCTGCAGAGTGGTTTATATGTCTACCCAGACGCTCACCACTTTGATACACCGATTCAGTTTGTCCAGCCGATCGACAATCTACTGTACGCTAAAGCCTCAGGCAAGCTGCAGCCGTCGTTGTAGGGCCAGGCATTCTACACCAGGCTACACCATAGTGCGAACGCTGGGACTACAGCTTGTCTAGTCATGTCATGCCGCACGCATTGTCGATCTTCATACACCTGCTGGCCGATGTTGCCGTTCCCAATGAGGCTCTGGCACGTCGGCCACTATGAAAGCTTATTGGTCGTCGTGAGGAGTAAGATTGGATGTTCTGGGGTACAATCCACACGTACTAGGGTAAAGGGGACTTATGGCCTCATCTTTAGCGCGTATCTAAGGGTAGATCCCGGTTGTCGAGCTTCCGGATCGCTGCTTGGGATGTTCGAGTAAGTTGTGTTGCGCCACGGATGTCGATGTACCTATTAGCTTTGGTGGGGGATTTGATGTTGGGTTGTAGAATTGGCCCCGCGGGCGATATTGCGAAGGGTCGTCGTGACAGTGCGTGAGTTTCTGTCACACTGAGCACTCATCTCGTGGAGCATGCATGGCAGGTACGGCATCCTAAGGCTTGCTGTTCCACGTGTTGCCTCAATGGATCCCTTGAGGTGCCTTACGTCTGCGTTGCAAGGCTGCTCCCCTGACGATCTACGTCTCTCGGGAGATGTGCACCCCAAGGCGTCGATCTTGCGTTTTCGGAAAAATGCTTCAACACCATCGGCAGTTTTTGTCTAGCGCGTCGAAGGCCCAAGCAGACTCAGACTTCGTGATGTACGCTGCTAACGAGATAGGGGAGATCTGCCACACTAACGCGCATCTAGCGCAGGACGCTATGGCAGATCCCTTGGTGGAGCGCAATACAGTTCGCCGATATGCCACTCTGCGGTTCTCCGGTCTTCGATGCGAGCGCAACTCCATGTCGTCCAAGCAAAGTCTTGATGGCCTTTTCGTCCCTACTTCTTGTTGCTGGCAAGATCTCGCCTTTTTCTCCCGGACTTCAGCCTGTATTATCGTCGATCTTGCTATCCAGACTCAAGCAGCGCAGCGACCTTGCTGTCCACTACGAACACCTGACCATCTAGCAAACACTCCAAAACACCGGGTCAGGGGTGCAACAAGCTATGCTGCACGGAAACCATGCTCCCGGGAGTTGCGCATACAGATCACAGTACTCGCCCTGCATCGCCATCCAAATGATTTGCGCGACTCCTTTGCACCTCTTTAGAGTTGCGGAATTTGCCATGGTGAAGTTGAGGCTGTAATGCTGCAGGTGCATCGACGTGATGAAACACCCCAGGTGCTGTCTCCAGCCGCAATACGGTCAGTGCTTCCACGTGCGACCCCTCAGCAACTTCCTCAGAGTTTCCCCAAACCCACCGAGATGACGGTGCGGAACTCAATCTACACCATGTACGCAGAAAAAGACAAAGGGATTAGGGGTGAGATGTGCAGAGAGTCACCGGAAGATTCTCCCGCATGTTCTATTGCTTTTCATCTCGGAGTTTTTCCTTGGTCTCTTCTTTGCTTCTCCCATCGATCAAGGCCCAGGCGCTCTGGGACGTTAACAGCCCTGTCATGTTCAGCCATCAGCTCTGTGCACCAACTATTTTCTCAACGCATCTTGAATAGTGTCAAGACAGCTCGTGGCATGCACCTTTGTCTTCGATCATAAACAAATCTTCTCCGATATTGTGTGGACATCCCCTATGGACGCTCCTTGGGTGGTGAGGGCTGGTGTAACAAGCTGGTCAATGAGACGCTGCATACTGTATAGCTTGTTGGATACCTCACATTGAACTGGTGATAAATAGATACATAGCAGCGGCGTTCACAATGGTTGCATATCTAACTTCATAACCTTGGTGATTACTCGATTAACCTTAGTCCTATCTCTATATGCTTGTCAGCGTCTCATATCTTCATGGAAGAATCTGTGTGCCGTGTCTCTGCAACTTGAAGTCCTTGAAGACTTGCAAGGTCCCGTCCAGTTCGACTCGTCATTAGACCAACTTGCCGCTGTCCAAATAATGCGACCAGCATGGGTGAGGGCATTGGACACTGGCAATGCGGCCTATATTATCTCGTCATTTGTTTCCATGCAATCGTTATGTGGGAACGACGGATTCCGTCATATAGCCCTCTTTACATCAGCTAAGATGTGTTCGGTTGTCCGGTATTCGACGGGGAACAGAATTTCTTCTAGCATAATAGAAGCACGTAGAACTCCTTGGTCCATTTTCGTCCTTGAAGGATCAAGCGTTGATGTTACTGTGTCCCCTATGTCCTTGCATCATCTCTGAAGAGTATCAAGCACTCGGAACATAATTCTAGATGCGTATTCTTGGTCTCATATACAGCACAATGTCGGCTTGGCCAACAAACACAACCAGAGGCTTTTCATATCAATCAAGCAGTTTTTACCTTGCATGAATTACCACCAAAGCAGCGCATCCATCGTTGTGGTTCTTGGCTTCCCAAACGCAACATCATCGCTCACTGTGGTGACGCCAGACCTCAGCTTTCAAGTATACAGGTCCGCAATCCAGCATCTGCTCGGTCAGATTCCCTGCGCCCTCACTCCTACCAACATGACTAAACCCGACTCATACATCACTACCATCATCCATCTGCTCAGCTGAGATGAAAAGGATTTGTATCCCCCACGACCGCCTCCTCATACTAATCGCCCCACTACGTACCAAGATCTCCAACATCAGCGACCCCACTCGGAGCAAAACAGGCGCATTTGGCGTTCACAAGCTGGATCATGCTTCATACCCTACCTTCAGTGAGGTAGACTGTCGCGAAATAGCGCCCAATGATATATATCCACTATCATTTCACGGACGTAATCTTTATGGTGGGATGGTATGACAAATGCTGCGGGAAGATGATAGTAAATGTGTTTGTTAAAGATTTGGTCCCATCCTGGCTTGTTTGTGCACGGCATGGTACAAGGGTAGATCTTCGTTGGCTATGATGGATATATTATCGAAGAACATGGTGAGGTGAACGCAGCTGTTCTTGCTAGACCTGGATTGACTGTAGGGAGTTCCCTGAGGCGGTAAGCCAGGAGATGCAAGATTCCAGCGGAGAAGCGCAGTTCCGATTGTGGTACATGATGAGAGAGGTGAACGGGAGAGTACTAGTAGGATCTTGAAACCAGGATGTCGCCGAGTTGCCGCTAACGAATGACCATGCTCGTGGCATCGCAGCGATGACAGTCTAATTGAACCAGAACGAACAAGGAAGTCACTAAAGATCAAATGTACAATTATCGTCTGCCTGAACTCCAAACGAAACTTTTCCAACCCCGAGTGTATACATATACATGCAGACATAAACGACGTAAAATCATAAAGATTACTCTGAGTCAGTAACGCAGCCCTGGCTAGCGTCCTTGACAAACCGCGCGTACTTGAAAAGCGTACCCTTCTGATACTTCAGTGCGGGCGCAGTCCACTTCTTCCTCCTCTCTGCTAGTTCTTGCTCGCTAACAGCAATGTTCAGCTCATTCGACTCGGAGTCAATGGTGATCTCATCACCGTCCTGGACCAAGCCGATGGGGCCACCTTCTTGCGCCTCGGGCACGATGTGACCGATCAAGAATCCGTGACTACCGCCACTGAAGCGGCCGTCTGTGATGAGCGCGACATCCTTGCCGAGACCGGCGCCCATGATGGCAGAGCTGGGCTTCAGCATCTCAGGCATACCGGGGCCGCCCTTGGGGCCTTCGTACCGGATGACAACAACGGTCTTCTCGCCCTTCTTGATTTCACCCCGCTCGAGAGCAGAGATGAAGTCGTCCTCGGCATCGTAACACTTGGCTTTACCGGTAAATATGGTACCCTCCTTACCAGTAATCTTGCCAACACAGCCACCGGGAGCAAGGGATCCTCTCAGGATTTGCAAATGACCGGTAGACTTCAGGGGCTCGCTGAGCGGTCGGATGATCTTCTGCTCAGCGGGGAAATCCCTAACGTTCTCCAGGTTCTCTTTCAGCGTCTTGCCAGTCACAGTCATCTGGCTACCGTCAAGGAGACCTTCCTTGAGCAGGAATTTGAGGAGCGAAGGTGTGCCACCAATGTCGTGGATATCGGCCATGACGTACTTGCCGGACGGCTTCAGGTCTGCCAGTAGCGGAATGCGGTTGCTGACGCTCTGGAAGTCATCAATGGTGAGCTTGAGGCCAACCGAGTCTGCAATCGCGATCAAGTGAAGAACAGCGTTGGTCGAGCCACCCGTGATGCTGATGACAACCATGGCGTTCTCGAACGCTTCACGCGTGAGAATGTCGCTTGGTCGGATGTCCTCTTTGAGCAGGTTCTTGATAGCGCCACCTGCTGCCAAGCACTCGAGCATCTTCGCCTTGGAGTTGGCCGGGTTGGATGAAGAGCCAGGTAGCGACATGCCCATTGTCTCAATCGCAGTAGCCATTGTGTTTGCTGTGTACATTCCTCCGCAAGCACCCTGCCCGTTGCAGGCATGTCTGATGATGTCGAAACGCTGGTCTTCGGTGATTTCGCCTGTGATGAATTGGCCGTACGCCTGGAAAGCGGAAACGATATCGATCTGCTGATTCTCGAGGGTCTTGGCGCAGCCAGGTTGGATAGTACCGCCATACACCATGAGCGAAGGCCTGTTCACACGTCCCATGGCCATGATGACACCAGGCATGTTCTTGTCGCATCCGGGGATGGAGATGTTCGCATCGTACCACTGGCCGCCCATGACTGTCTCGATTGAGTCGGCGATGATCTCACGCGACTGCAGCGAGTAGCGCATGCCCTTTGTGCCCATGGAAATACCGTCACTAACACCAATGGTGTTGAACTGCATTCCGAGCAGGCCGGCCCTCTCTACACCCTCCTTCACCTTGTGGTTCAGGTCCATCAGGTGCATGTTGCACGGGTTGCCCGAGTACCAGACAGACGAGATGCCGACCTGGGCCTTGTTCATGTCCGTTTCGCTCATGCCGGTGGCGTACAGCATAGCCTGCGAGGCGCCCTGCGACTTGGGCTGCGTGATGTGTTTGCTGACCGAATTGAGCTCATTGTCGGCTTTGGCGGTGCGGGCTGCGGAGCTGGAAAGCGCACGTCTGCAAACAATTAGACTTGGTTCTCGATTTCGCGGACAAAAAAAACTTACGCTGCGTGCCATTGCGGCCGCGGCGAGCACCTTGCGCGCGCGAGAACTCCTCCAAAGCGTGCGAGAGACATTGTGGCGGGCTGACTGCTCGTTCCGTGGCGGATTGCTCATCCTAATAATTTAAACATGCGAGCTCGGAGGATGCGGGGACGGGGAAACTAGAGCTTCTCCGAGTCGATGCATGGCTGACCAATGAGGAGCGACATGATGATGCAACACTATCTTCTCCACCACAAGGCTCACAGCGATCGCACGTTCATCAGAAACCAACTTCTTCATCGACGGCTCAGTCGGACCGCACCACTGGACAAAGTCCAGCATGCATCTACGTCAGTATGCAAAGGTACACAGACGCACCCCCATTCACTTTATCGAAATCATGGAATTCGTACTACAACCTTGTCTGCCTCAATACGTATAGTCTTTTGCGTGAAGGGCAGCATGTGCGTGTTACTATACAGTCTACTATTGTCACAGCCAACATCCCATCACTATGCTATCTGCGGGCGTGATGGCCACTGAGATCCAAATCAGACTTGCTATATCGAGTCTTGTTGTAGCCTCTCTTATTCATGTCATTTTTCTCACCCCATCTTCCTATTGTCTTACTCCCCTAACCCAGCTTTCGAAATGAGGTACTTCTTCTGCTTCTTATTCTCTTCATGTCTCGCGCAGGCTGCGAGCATGGTCTTTACAGGCTTCAACTATGGCGCCTTCTGGAGCCTGGAAGCCAACATCAAGAAGAAGGCAGACTTTCTTGATGGCTTCAACTTAGCAAGAAATCTTACCACCGACATACCCTTCGATAGTGCGCGCCTGTTCACTTGCAAAGCAGCCGGCACTCTCAACGAGCCTACTGAAGCTTTCGATGCAGCAGTCGACTCCAAGACCAACCTGCTCTTAGGATTCTGGATCACGCCAGGACAGAAAGGCGGCTCGCCGGACGAGAAAGTCAAGAATGAAATGGCTGCACTCGAAAAAGGATTCAAGAAACATGGCCAAGCCCTTTCAGATCTAGTTATTGGACTCTCTATCGGCAGTGAAGACATATACCGTGCCGAGGAGGCCGGCGAGATAGGTGTCACTGCGGCAGTTGTCGGACAAACAATCGCTCAAGTCAAGAAAGACATCGCTGCCTCGCCATTTGCTCAGTACATGAAGGACAAGCCGATTGGTCACGTTGATACAGCCAAGTATGCAGTGGTGGACAACGCTGACTTCATTGGCATGACTGTATATCCATATTGGAATAAAGACAGCATCGAATCAGCAAGCACAAGCTTCCAAGGTTCTCTCGAGCAAGTCAAGCAGCACGCAGGTAACCGACCTGTATGGATCGCTGAGATGGGCTGGCCCTCTACTGATACCGAATTACACGGCGCTGCAGTTGCGGGTGTGAACGAAGCACAGAAGTTTTGGAGCGAAGCCGGCTGTGCTGTGTTTGGTAAATACACTACATTCTACTTTGAGTTACTCAAAGATACAACACCAGAACAGAAAGCCGATTGGAGTATCATTGATACCAACACTCGACAGCAAAGGATTAGGAACTTGAGCTGTGGCAATCCACAGGCCAAGTCCCCTACTGGCGCACCAGCTATCTCGCAAGCATCATCTCAATCTGTTGGGTCGACCCCCCCAAGCATACCTGTTTCTGGCTCACCAGTCACTCCAAGCGCGCCAGCGGTGATACTGTCGTCTGAATCTCCGTCGACCGGATCAAGTACCATGTACGTAACGGTAACGAGGACGACTACGGTGACTCCACAGCCCATCCTACCATCACTAGCTGCATCCGGCGACACGTCATTGACCACTTTCATAGTGACTATGACGAGCACTACTATAATAACGGCACAGGCCTCGATTGTTACTTTAGCGAGCGGGAATCAATCACCTTCCCCCACTGATGGTGTCGCTTCACTTGGCAAGTTGTATCCCCGAACAAAATCCGTCAAAGCTAATATGTTACAGCACAATTCCAAGTGGCGATAGGTTCCAAAACGGTCACCGTCAATACCACGTCAACAACCATTGTCTTTGCAGAGACTACAACAACAGCCGTTCCGAGAGACGTGCCCCTAGATGTCGAATGGTGCATCACAGTCGTCGACATGGACCGAAACAGCAAACCTATCACTATCGCTGCGGGCCCTGCTGGGCTAGATGGAGAATGCATCTCACCTCCAACTTATCAAGGGTACCCGTATATAACAGCACGATCAGCAGCGGAGCCGTCTAAGATACCCATCGGAACAGACTGGTGTGTTACGGTGGCCGATATTGACCGCAACGGTCGTCCTATACCTGTTGATGCCGGGCCCGCTGGAGCAGACGGCGAGTGTAGTGTTCCCCCAACTTATAGCGGTATACCTGTGATTACTACTTTGACTATCGACTCGAAGGCGCCTGAGCCATCGAAAGAGCTGCTGCCGATGTCTCAGGCTATGGACCTTGCTTCACCTTCCAGTGTTCAAGTGTTAGCAGGCACTGTTGCGTCTTCAGCAAGCGCTGTTACTCCATTACCTAGTAAGTCGCTTAGCTGAGTTGGCACTCTGGCTATTTATAACGATCGCAATAGCATCATCGGAAAGGTCGCAATGCAAACGTCGCGAGCCCCGATCTACACCATTGCCTGCTTCAAAATCAACAGTATTAATTACAGCATCTATCACGACACCAACATCCCCCTATCTTGCCACTCCGTTCAGGGTACCTTCCGGTCCATTCGGCGCTACGCTTTCGGACTCCCCTTCTTCTATGCTGACGGTTGTGACGGACGTCAAAGTGCCGTGAATGTAAGTATGAATGAGATAGAGTGCAGTGTAAAAACAGCGGGGTTTCCTTGAGATCTTACGCGCATGAGATGCGTGCCGAACGTGTTGCTAGTTAGGTTTTGAGGAATAGTTGGCAATGCATTCCATAGTATCGCACAATAACATGAACCGTTGCATTGTTTTGTCGAACTATATTGTCTTCCCATTATCGGATTTCTAATCTAGCCGTACACAGGTTCATGCACAGTCTACGGCTTCGGTAGCATCGTCTACACAATGGAAGACGAGTCGGTATATACTATCATTAGTGTGATATCGCTCCAGACAATCATGAACCTCGTCTTTGAACATCCATAGCGTATGGGCAGATCTTGGCCCGTAACTGAGCCGTCGAGCTTTTGGGAGTGGGTGCACAGCGTCATCTGTATTGACGCGAAGCGTATTCTCATTGAGAGAGCAGATCGTTGAGTACAGTAGAGCCATACGAAGGTAAAGCGAAGACTGCACATAATTCGAGAATGACACCCACAGCATGAGGAGAGATGTTCATCAGCCGTCGTATAAACGGTGGGTTTGTTTGTTTGTTCATTCATGTGATATCTCATCTCTCGTACCAGCTAACATAAGTTTTCCGTAACCGTTAAGAACCCGAAAAAGTCCACCATGAGACACCTGATAGACTCCGAATTCGCACTTTTGCGGATATAACCCGATAACTCGAAACGCACTAAGATGCTAAAGGCGCTTGCCTATATCTTTCTATCAAGGTAAATGGTAGATGTCGATAGGCCAGAAACATCGATACACAAATCCACAGCGCAATGCAATGTCTGACGCGACTCACTGATGATACGCGTCTAAGCAGCAGCCGCTACCTAGGCAGCGGGAGTGGAGGTGGCGGGAGGGTTCTCGACGACCTTCTCGGGAGTCTCGTTGGTGGCAGCGGTCTCGGTGAGAGGAGCCTCGCCGTCGGCGGGCGCGTCGGGAGCATCATCCTCCTTACCGGGGGAGTCGATCGCGACCTTAACGGCGATCTCACGGCCCTCAATTTCCTTGCCGTTCATCTCGGAGCAAGCCTTCTGCTGGAGCTCCTCAGAGCCGAGGGTAACGAAACCGAAACCACGGCCCTTGCGGGGCTCACCGCGGGCCTGAAGCTTCTTGACCATGAAGCGGGGGATGGGGCGGAGGGCGATCTTGGCCTGAGTGGGGGAGTAGTCCTTGAAGATCTCAAGAAGCTGGTTGACTAGTCAGCACACGCTGCGAGAAGGGAGTATACAAACTTACCCTATCCTCCTTCAGGTCGTACGGCAGGTTCGCAACCATGACCTTGGTCTTGGAGGGAACGCCATCCTCGGGAGGACCGCGCTGCTTGCGCTCACGGGGTCCCTGGGGAGCGGACTTGTCGGCACCCTTCTTTGCGGTAAGCGCTTCGTTGGTAGTTTCGGTTAGGGGAGCAACTTGGCCGGGTACATTTGTAGGGGTGGAGTCGGCAGGAGCCTCGTTGGAGAGCTCGACCTGCTCGGCACCTTCAGCATCGGCCTTCTTGTGGACTTTGATTAGCTTGTGCACACAGTTTGTAGTGTGTGAAGGCACTTACAGCACGTCCACCGCGTCCAGCACGGCCGCCACGGCCACGACCGCGACCACGTCCACGGGTGGAAGTACGGCGACGAGCCTCGCCAGTGTTGCCCTCGGCTCCGCTGCCGGCGCCCTCAGCGTGGGCCTCGGGAGTGCGGGCAAGCTGGATGGAGACCTTGCGGTCGAGGATGGCCTTGCCGTTGAGCTCAGCAATGGCACGCTCGGCCTCGGATGGGGTCGAGAGGGCAACGAAGGCATAGCCGACGGGGCGCGAGGTGCGCGGGTTGGTGGGGATGGTCGTGGACTCGCTGTGCGACGTGTTAGCTTCACCCTCTTGCGTCATGCGGAGAAAACAGGGTCCACTTACACCAGGTAGTCCTTGAAGAACTCCTTCAACTCCCCCTCGGTGGTCGCGTACGCGAGGTTTCCAATGTAAAGTCGCCTGCCCTCAGCGGCGCTCGCACGCACAGCCTCGTCCTCGGCTGCGGTGGGTTGTTGAGCGCCAGTGCTCTCCGCGGTGGTGGTGGGGGCGGCGGGAGCGGCGTTGTCGGTGAGGGAGGTGGTGGCCATCTGGGCGGTGACACTGTCGACAGGTGCGGACATGATTGCTGAAGTTTGGGTGGTTGACGAACACGAGTGGAGATCGAACGTGTAAGAGGTTGAGGAAACTTGGAGTCCTGGTAGACCGGTAAAGGTAACCTTGAACAGTAGTTGGTGATTGAGTGGTTGATGGGATTGTCGAACCGCCTGTTGGTGGAACTGTTGACGAGGGGGGTGTGGAGTGGGTAGCTACGAGCCCGGGGAAGGTTGAGAGAGGATTGGGTTGATGGGGTGCGTGGTTGGTCTCTGTTGTTGACTTGATGGGGGAGAAAGGGAGCAGGCCTCGCCCAGGCAGATTATTTTGAAGAGCGCAGCCATGGGGCTTGGCCGCATCCGGTAACGGAAGCGGCCCCTGCGCACAATGAAGGGCCCACTTGCCTGTGAGCAACTACCATGAGTGCATGGATAGGGGAAACGGCGACTAGGCGGCCGGGGCGAGCATGGACGGCGTTCGAGAGGGCGCAGGCAGGTGCATCATGGCTGCGGCCGCCGAGCGAGCACTCTCACCTGCATACCGCGCACCTCGTTCACTGTTGCGAGAGCACGCCCCGTCGACGACAGTGCTTCGCCAAGCTCGACGCCACACGTCGCCCTAGCGCCACAGTAGACCTCCAGCTTGGCGCGCTGCATGACGCTCCAGCTTCACTTCCGCCCCACCGCCCACTGCCGCTAGAAGCATGAAAAAGACCCGCCTGCCGTTGACGTGTCCGCTAGTGCACCGCTTCTTCATGCACTGGATCCGGGGGGCCTGCCATTCCAATCTCCCATCACTCGAGTCCTGTCCAGGCTAGTCTGTCTCACCGCACTCTGATTGCTGGTTTACCGCCATGTCGAGTGCATTGCGACCGCGCCGCGCCCTGGTCGTCTACGGCTCCGAGACAGGTAACGCGCAGGATGTGGCTGAGGAGATGGGACGCGTTGCTGAGCGATTGAGATTCGACACCGAGGTCGCTGAGCTCAACGCCATCACTTTAGTATGTTCGCGGCGACGCTGCGTGCAAGGTACCATGGTTGACTGTTGGTAGAGGCAACTGCTGCAACATCACGTCGTCTTGATCGCTATCTCCACCACGGGCCAGGGCGAACTACCACCCAACAGCCAGAAGTTCTGGAAAGCCATCCGGAGCACTCGACTGCGGCCAGGATGCTTGCAGCAGATGAGATTTGCATCCTTTGGTCTTGGTGACACATCCTATCCAAAGTACAACTGGGCGCATCGCAAGCTATACAACCGGCTCGTGGCACTCGGAGCGCAGCCGATATGCGATCGTGGCGAGTCAGACGAGCAGCATCCAGAGGGGTATGTCAATATCATCGATGCTCCTTTCCATCCTGCCTTCTTTTGTGGGTTCTTGTGTCATCTCGACTTGTCATCCCTCTACCCACAGCCGAACTTCATCCCGACTACCAGCACATGTCTGACTATTCGAAAGCATCGATGGCTCCTTCCTCCCATGGTCAACGAAACTCCGCCAACATCTCCTCGCCTCATATCCGCTCGCTGATGGTATCGAGCCGATACCGGACAATGTTCTGCTAGACCCGAAATGGCTGCTCGAGACTATAGACGATGGTGCAGCATCTTCACCAAAACTCGAATCTGTACCTGCGTTGAACGGCGACGCGCCTGACGCCCCTCCTTCTGATCTTCTCAACATATCCGGCGGACTTACTGCGAAGATCACAAGCAACGAGAGAGTCACTCCGACGACCCATTGGCAGGACGTCCGGCACCTTAAATTTGAAATACCAGAGACACATCCATACGTCCCAGGTGATGTACTTACAATCTACCCCAAGAACTTTCCCTCCGATGTATCTCAGTTCCTCGAATGTATGGGCTGGACGTCCAGGGCTGATGTACCTCTCCGCTTCGTCCCTTCATCATCATCGACACCTTCCGACGCCACTCTGCCCATCCGAAATATGGAGCAAGGTAGTACGATAACCTTAAGAGAGCTTTTAACCAACCATCTCGATATTATCGCTATTCCCCGAAGGTCGTTCTTCGCCCAGCTCGCGCATTACACGAGTGACGAGTTCCATAAAACAAGATTACTTGAGTTTACGGACCCTCAATATCTGGACGAGCTATATGACTACACCACACGTCCACGCCGCAGCATCTTAGAGGTCTTACAGGAGTTTGAATCTGTCAAGATACCTTGGCAGCGCGTGTGCAGTATTATTCCTACTCTACGCGGTCGCCAGTTCAGCATCGCAAGTGCGATGAACCCTACCACGGAGCTAGAAAAGAAAACAAAAATCGAGCTTTTGATTGCGATAGTAAAGTATAAGACAATTATTAAAAGAATAAGACAAGGTGTCGCTACGCGGTACGTCGCTTCGCTCATACCAGGACAAGAAATCACGGTCACGCTTTCGCGAGGCGGGCTTGGTGTGAGCAAAGATGAACTCGATAGACCGGTTGTTATGATTGGGCCAGGAACAGGTGTAGCGCCCATGCGTTCGCTGATATACCAACGCGTGCAATGGCGCGAGGAGCACAAGAAACTTGAGAATGGCCACGCGCAAGAAGACGACGAACCTGTAAAAGACTTACTGTTCTTTGGCTGTCGTAATGCCGAGTCAGATTACTTCTTCAAAGACGAATGGGCGCAGCTCCAGTCCTCCAGCGTGCCGTTAGAAGTCTTTGCGGCATTCTCCCGAGACCAGGTAAGACTTCAACTCCACCTGTTGACGCCCATGCTAACCACACAACAGCGCCAGAAAGTCTACGTTCAAGACCTTGTCCGTCAGCAATCTTCGCTGATATTCTCGCATCTTTTCCACAAATCTGGCATCTTATATATTTGCGGCTCGTCGGGCAAAATGCCTCAGGCTGTACGCGAAGCGCTCATTGAAGCTTTCCAAGGGCATGGCAGTATGGATAGAGAAGGCGCAGAGGATTATCTGGTGAGCATGGAGAAGAGTGGAAGATATAGACAAGAAACGTGGTAGGACCTTGGGTAGCGATAGGGCCGCCCTTGATTGCAGATCAGACATCGTAGGCTGTTTGGTTTCATGAACAACGTTAGCATACCCTACCTTCCGATCTAGACGTGGAGGAATGAGATGAGAGTGGAGGGGGAGACATTAGACAGATTATTGTGAAGATCGTGAGAGGTGTGTGGATGCTGGATTGCAGGGTCTGTGATACTGGATCAATTGTCTACACCGCGTACCTACTCATAAATATAACAGAAGGGTCCAGCAAGCGTGCTCGAAGCCTCCTTAATAGTCATATTTGGGAAGCCCAGATACTCCCCAAATGTCATAACATCATCCAGCGTCGCATTTCTTGTTGGTGGGACATTCTGGAACGTAAGGGTGCCAGCAATAGTAAAGCGTCTCTCCTTCAAGTTTTGATTCTGCCAAATCCACCAAATTCGGTCAATTTGTGCGTGGTGGTTCCAAAAGTACGGGTCAGACGGAGAGCTGCAAAGGTGGAGATACCAAGTTAGTATATGTCTCATGTACATTCGTACAAGGGGTCTCACTTATAGAAATCGCTACCAGCATCGCCACCGATTGTTTGATGACCACCAAGATGAACACGGAGTATTCCTGGAGAAGGGTTCTGAAGCGTGTTTTGGAAAGCGGAGATATTGGCACTGCCTGTGATTAGTCCGGCGACGTTGGCATCGGTGGTCTCGGATGATGAGCGGGTGTTGATGTCTCGCTTGATGCACCTGGGGTTGTAGCCAAGACCATCAGGGGATGGATTTGGCTGTACAGTAGTGTCAAGAGACGAGATAGGTCCGACATGCATCTTCCAGCTGGAATTCAGTTAGTACGTAAGCGGCGCAGATATTGCTCCTAGATTAGTGCTTACTTCTTGAAGGGTCCAGAAGCGACGCACCCACCTCCGTTACCAGGAGGAATTTCTACAAAGCATCGGCCTGGGTTAGGCACGCAGCTGACATTGCGTCCCGGAACGTACTCTCCATCTCCCGAGATGCTCGTGTCGCTGCCATCGAGGAGAGGAGAAGCAGCAGGGTTATCAGCCCACAAGGCCCAGTTGTAGTAGGGGAGATAGCCCTTGTACCCGCATTCGTTGCGCAGAGTTTGTTCCCACGCCCACATGAAGTAGCGGTGCCACGACAGAAAGTTGCCCTTATAGACCTGAGTCATCCTGAGGAAACATTGGAGAGCAGAATCGAACGTACATTTCCGTGTGTATATTGCGTTAGTAAGATATGAGTAACAACGAAATCATCATAACGACTCTTAGCTCCCGCAGCGATAGCAGCCGGAGTTCTGGCCTTCTTTTGCCCAGTACACTGAACAGCGTCAATGTAATTCAGTTTCTCTGAACGCTTGAGTTTGGACCTGTATCATGTGAGAAAGGTATAGAAATCGCTATCGTTAATCCCGTACCATTCGCGACGTCGAGCCACTGTTCGTTTGGTACATTTCGTCGAGTAGCTATTGGGATGTTTGGCGACGTCAAGCCATAGCTGGTCGAGCCCGTGTTTAGCTAGGGCATCAGTTTCGGGTGCTTTTGCCGCGATGGTGCTGCCAGCAAGGGCAAGTAGGAAGATGAATCGCATGATGGTGCCGATTCAAGATACGAAAGAGCTGATTACTGCTTCAACCGCTTTGCAGAGGAAGTAGGGATCCTTTTATGCGTAAGGAGTGGTAACACTGCGGATGCAAGGCATGCAGCACCTGGATCAAGCGCGTCCGAATTCAGGAACTGACTTTGTCGAGCATGGATAGCGTCCACACCTCTCGTGTGATGGCTAGTTATTTGCCGTCTCTCCGGGCATTAATGCCACGAAGAGACTCGTCTAGACATGCTGACTCAAAGTACCGACGCAAGGAGACTGCATTGCAAGCGGGACAGGCCACCGACTAATGCAGATGGACTCCACCAGAACAGCATGATCAGAGTTTCCAGCGCTTGCCACAATTTGGGAACAGACAGTACCATCTATATCGCCTCGCCCAACCAGCCGGTAGCGAACAGGCGTCAAACACTTAGATGATCTATGCCGGGCACAAACCCGTGTACTGGACGGACGGCAGGCATATGGCGACTCGTATGCAAGGAACAGTATCTTAGTTGCAGCTCTGCAACCGTGTTGCTGCGCCGCTACGCTGCAGTGTTGTAATATCCAGCCGACATGGGCATATACTCCAGCTGCTTGGCGTAGGAAGCGAGCCAAGAGGATGGATTGTGGCGCGGAAGCGCTCTGTCAAAAAAACATGTTGCGCATGGGGCTTCGACTACAGCGTGGGATTGAAAACGAAACATGTAGTTTTCACCAAGACTTAGGAAGAATGGTGTTTGATGTTCGTCGTCGCTGTTGTGGGCCACCTACCTATCTAGTGCTTTTTGTGTGGCCTTAGTGGTACTGTGATACCTGGGCAGGTGCCAATCGCCACGGGTAGGCCTAGTCGCGAAATATGGGTTCTTCCTTCACACGGCACGGTGATTCGCCCAACTCCTACGCATTTGCGTATCGAACCGAACGCGGCATTCGGGAGCACACCCATCTGCTTTCGTCGCGAGCCGTGTCGGGCGGCTCGAAAGCTTGTGTCATCCCGCGAAGCCACCCGCCTCGGGAGACGTTTGAGTTGCTGGACATTGAGCCAGATCGGAGCCACTTTGTGCTACTGAGAAAGTATGCATCCCTTCTGCATGTCGAGTGAAGCTATCATTCCAATCGCACTCTTTTTTCGTTCACAACTTATGACACTGGCCTTAGTGGACAGTCGTTAGCGGATATCAGTTACGACCTGGGTTATGCCACACCATTTGCGAAAGACAGAAGCACGGCATTCCATTCCATGTAGTGGAGAGCTGCGGCGCGGTCGCCACTACGCCAGAATCCAGTTAGCGAGAAGACCTTCCATGAGAACTATCCTAGCTCCCGCAATGTGATCGGCTCAAGATGGCCACGTTACCGAGCCAAATCCATATTGCGATGGTATCAGATTATGGGCTGAGTAAGAAGTCTTCTTCTGGTTAATGAGCGAATGTATGCAAGAACACGGCTCAGGCAACGCGAGACCTATATGATCAACTCATGCTGTTGACAACACAAACTGTACATGCGTCTCTTTTGTGGCCTCCACTGCTACCACCTATGCATTGAACACATCACAAGCATGGTTTCTTCCAGTGCTCCAACTTCTTTACCATCACCAGAGCTCGTAGCCTACTCTAATGCTGGTAATCTTGTCGCACAAGCTGCCACGTTATGTGTAGTCGCATTGATAACGGTCCTCTTACGTTGCTACGCTCGTGTTGCAGTTATCAAGTCCTTTGGTTACGATGACTGGGCTATGCTTCTGGCCATGGTAACTATACTGAGAAAGCTAGTGTCAATCGCAATCACTAATTCGTTCCTACAGTTCATGGCCATAGCAACACTTGTTTGCATAGTTTTGGAAGTTCCTTACGGTCTTGGAAAATACCTCTCTGTCATTCAGATGGATCCGGCAAGGTACCAGCAATTGCTCAAAGTCCGATATGTGCATCAGATCATCTGCAACGCTGCGGCGACAGTGGTAAAGATATCTGTCTCTCTGTTCTTGCTGAGATTTGCGACAACGAAAGCATATCGATGGTCTCTACACGGCTTGAAAGTGTTTTTGATGGCTTTTATGCTGACGTGTACCGGAACATTGGGTAAGTCCGTCATGAACGGATTGGCATACTTTACTAATATTCTTTTAGTAAGACACTATCGCATAGATGTTTCCCTGGTCCTGCTGTACTAAAGAGACACAGGTGTGGGCCTGCCTCCCCGTAGAGGCTAGTTGGAACTATAGTCTCCGCCCTCCACCACTGGGAAATGGTAGCGTCAAATGTTTCAGTAGAGATACTTTCGGGCGCATCGCTCTCTTTAACGCGGGTTAGTACGCGACTATCTGCTGTCCATCATCAAAAAACTGATCTACACCTAGTCATCAACTGTTTGACAGACTTCCTTCTGGCACTCCTTCCTGTTCCGCTCATCTGGCAACTCAAACTCAACGTCCGCACTCGCATGTCGCTAATTGCGATACTGTCACTTGGTGTCTCCGCTGGCGCAGCCGGGGTCTTCCGAGCAACAGTGTTCAATACCATCCTTCACGATCCTCGACGATTCGTTCATGACAAATGGATGATGTGGAACTACGTCGAGCTGACTGTTGGCATAATTGCTGGATCTCTTTCCTGCGTTGAAGCCCTTGTTTCTTCGAGTTCTGAACGCAGCACGTGAACGGACGGCTGTAGGAACTGGTAGGGTCACCGGAAGTGGAAGACCTGATACGTTGGGCTACGAGAGGCAGGATCAGTCCAAGTCTGGGATTGCTCTATCTGAATATAGATCGGGAAACCGGGCATCAGGTACAGCGATGGAGCGGCCGGTTTGGCGTACAGAATCGCGGAACGACAGTGACGAGAGTGTGATACCGCTACATGGTCCGGAGGGAAAGGCGAACGCAATCTTCGTTACGAAAGAGTTTCACATCCGTTGAGAGTGATTGGTATCAGCTCTCAGTTATATGAGTAATTGGCTCGAATGACGTCATCGAAGAGCAAAGAACCTAGAGCTAGCTCTGTTGTATACATAGACAATCTTTCGCTGTAAAGAATATCGATTTGGTTGTTCTTAGTAAAAGAGCTGAGACTGCTCGTTCTAGCAGCCCCACGAAAGGGGTTGTTATTGGTTGCCTAAGTGTGAATCTCTCCACACGTGCACTTTCTCCGATCGCCAAGCTGCTGATCCACTCCCGGAAAATAACCGGATCTTGGGAAGAGCCTCGGGACATATTTGACACGACGCGCACTCAGACATTACCTGCAACAATGATCACAGGACGCGTATCGGTCAGCGCTCTCAATAATCTCCCTGACGAACTGATACTCCTCATCCTGGATCAGCTGGATCCAGGTGACTATTTCACGTTACGCGATTTGAACGCGACAAGCTCGCGTTTTCGTCGTCTCACGATAGATCGACTCTATCGAAGATTTCCAGGTTGCTCCCCAGAGCAGTTCCTGCGTACCATAACGCTGTCGCATCCAGACGAACGCCATGAATTCATGAATTATGTCAAGGAGGTGGTGTGGTATCAGAACTATTGGGATCGACCATCTCGACGTCGATGCCTACCTCTAGGCGATAGGCATACCGTTGCCAACATACTGAGGAGTTCTGGGGCTATTCTGGACACTACAGATCTCTCCACAGACTTGCCTGGACGCTTCATAGGCTTCTCTTCCGAATATGAAGTTCATTGGTGGTATCTGGAGTTCTTCTTGTTCTCCACGCCCAAGGTTGAGAAAATTACTATACACGATGCATGGCAATGGGATGACCACAGTTACTGGTTCAAGAGCCTGGCTGCCAACCCAATTCACTTCAAAAATCTTCGATCCATTACCGTATTCGGTCCTCTACGTCTGAGAAACATTGTGCCGCTTCTGACTCTGCCTTCCATACACGCCCTAGATCTTACCCAAGTCGTCGATATGCGCCAAGAACCCGACAGGGAGTTCTCATGGGCCCGCGACGGCGAAGACTACGTTGACCGACGATTGGCGAGTGGTTCGTCTCTTGAACATCTGGTTATACGGGAGTCAGATCTGCATATCCCGTCTGCAGTGGGTATCCTTGAGAAACTTAACAAAGTCAAGAGTTTCACCTACGAACATGTGTGTCATGAACTTGCATCGCATCCCGGGATGCAGCCGTCCATTTTCCCGTGGGTTGGCAACTTGTGCTGGGGTCCGGATAGCTCCCTCGAAAGTTTGCATCTACGTATAGAGTCGTCAGTAGTGACGCATGAAGAGATGACATCGCTCTGTCACCACGTTACTGGTCCTGTACTAGCAAGGCTTCGTACTCTGAACATCGGTCCCTGTAGTATCAGCACTTTCAAAAGCTTGGATCTCGCACAATCTGAAGATCTACCAATTATAGCTTCTAGGATCGTAGCCGCATTTCCTGACACACTCGAAGCTCTACAAATTCAGTGGGCTTACGAGCGTGATGGAGAACCACGGTTAAAAATTTTCATTGATATCTTACGGTACTTGGCCGAAGCCATTGCTGGTTCAAACTCTAAATTGAAGCACGTCTCTATCGTTGACTGGCCAGCACTTGCAGGCTGGTTCCCTTTCCAAGACCAAGTCATCAGTTTGAAGCGGGTATATGAACGCCGGGGATTGCAATTTGACATAGTCTACGAAGAGATTGAAGATGGAGAGCCACTTACCGTCATGGAAGACGTGGAGCCTGGTTGGGTTTGGATCCAAAGGACGGAATATTTCGCGACACATTGCAGGTTTTCCCGCCCATCGTCTAATCATGGCTAGTGGAGTGTGTGTATACGATCTCTGAAGCATTTATAGATGGTATCTACAAAGTTTCGTACGGGATCTGGGTGCGTGTTGGTGTAGCACTAGCAAACAAGACTACGTTGCGGCTGACACAGCTAACACGTGCTTGACCGGTCCGACAATCGCTAAATCATTAGCGCCTCTCCCAACGCGGGGAAGCTCCTGTCCCCTGTTATCGTACTTGGCATCAATTTCTTTTTGCGGAATGGGACAAGAGCTTCAATGCGTAGCAAGCCGTCAACGGCGGAGTATCCCTTCACCAGCCATCCACTCAGACGGTATAGTAGTCCAGATGGCTACTAATCTCCCATCCAAACCTGGCTTCGATACTCTTCCCAACGAACTTGTCATAAGCATCATCGAGCGCATGCCGAACGATAACGCTAAGGATATATGCAATCTAAGCCTGACTAGTCGTCGCATGTACACGCTTTCTGTCGATCATCTGTACAAAAGTCTTCTAGTACGACGTCCGTGGCCACTTCTGCGTACGTTGCGATCCAGCCCGGAACTTGCAAACCGAATTCGGGACATTACATGGAGGCACAACTTCAACGATCATGACGATACCGAAGAAAATCAAGCCGTCCTCTCCAGCTGCATCAAGCTTCTAGAGTCGTCTCACCAGGACGGATTGATGCGTGATTCTTCTGGGCTTCGGTGTGATCACGAGTTCATCGAGATACTCCTAATGTTCACTCCGAATCTCCGTACGCTTGTTATCGCAGATAGAGCCTTCTGGCCTGATGGCGAATATTGGTTCAGGAGGATCGCAAACAACCCGGATCGGTTCGTGCACTTGCGAACCATTAATATACACGGTCCACTGTCAGTGGAGGCCATAGCATACTTGTTCCTCCTTCCTTCACTTCGGAACTTCATCGCTTCGGACTTAGTTCTCCCCGAGCGCACCAACAACAGACGAGTTTGGGATAACGAGATTCCGCTTAGGACAGTGTTAGACCCTGGTTCATCTCAAGTTGAGAAGATCGTGTTGAAGCGATCAGTTGTGGAGGTGCCGACGCTAAAATACTTCACCGAAGCTTGCAGAGATTTGAAGAGCTTCGCATATGAACAGGACATCAACAACGATCAGCGTGGCATGTATTCTCGAAGTCTCCTGTCTAAGTTTGGCGAGCTTTCAGCAGCTTTCATTCTCAACCGCACAACACTCGAGCACCTCTCTATCCGCGGTGACCATCAGATGCTTCGTCAGGAGCACGTACTACAGGTAGCACGATTGGCTTCCAACATGTCAAACCTTCGTTCGCTAGATATGGGCTTGATCACACATGACGACGACCCGATACAATGCACCTCCGATTTTGTAGCAAAGATGGTACGCCTTCTTCCGCCCACACTTGAAGAAATGAGTTTTGAGATTGACTGGCAAGAGCACTGGGGCTCGAGAGGGTGGGAGGGGCCAACAGAGATGTTGCGCCATCTCGCTACTATCGCTTCTCCAAAGCTGTCCTTGAAGAAAGTCGCTGTGGTGGATTGGCCGCCTTTCTTGGGTCATTTCCCGCCAGATTTTGCACGGCTACATCAGTGCTTTGCGGAGCAAAGCATAGATTTCGTATCCATTCCCGCCAGCATCGAAGGGCCGGATCCGCTGCAGTTGTTAGACTTCGTAGAGCCGGGGTATGTGTTCGTACAAGTCGCTGTTGCCGAGTACGCGTAATTGCGTTGCAGTCACGTGGTACCGCAATATCAGTCGTGTGAAGATCAATGCAGCTACTCTGTGTTCTTTTCAATCAAAAATGAGACTTTGCTATCCATTCATAGAATCGGTGGCGGGTGAATGAAGGGCTGAGCGCGCTAGTGAGATATTAGCGTCAAGCTATGACTCGCGTGGAGGGCAGCTATGATGTACGTCATGTTCAAGTTACAACGCGCCCCTCCACATCTCTTGTTCACAAAGTATTCTCGACATACGACCCGTCACCGCGACTTTGATCATCTAAGATGGCGCAAAAAGGTGATCATCTATTACAGCGTCCTCTCTATGGTAAAATATTGCTCCCTCCCCGAGCGCGCATGGAATTAACGTCCACAGTGTTTGATCTGCCCGAAGAGCTGTTAGCCACACTCACTCTCAAAGACCAGCCCGAGCACTCGATAGAAGAGACACCACCTCAAATACCGACGACTGCAAACGACTCTTCCAATACCGCCGAAGAAGAGAGCAACAGCCCGGCAAAAGCGACATCGTGCAACCTCTGTGGGCTCAGCTTTGCATCTCTTGCAGACCAGCGCAATCACGTACGATCAGACCTACATGGATACAATCTGAAGCAAAAGATAAAAGGTGCGAAGCCTGTAGGCGAGGCTGAGTTCGAGAAACTGATCGGAGATCTGGACGAGAGCATATCAGGGTCTGAGTCATCAGAATCCGACGAGGACGAAGATGCAGATGGGACGAAGGCAAAAGAATCCACGCTTAGTGCGCTATTAAAAAAGCAGGCCAAGATATCAGATCCCGAGTTTGACGACTTTTCCTCACGGAAGAAGCAGAGAGGGCCTGGCAAGCCTCCGTTGATGTGGTTCACGTCACCCTCAATACCCGACAACATGTCACTAGGCGTGTATCGCGCCATTTTTTCGAATACAGAGCAGGAAGAGGAGTCGCATGTTTTGGAAACTTTACGCAAGAAGCAGCTTTCTCCGAAGCAACTCCCAAAGATCAAGGCGAATGAGGCCGGTGTCCCGCCACCAGGCATAGATATCGGGCCACATTACTTTCTATGCATGATAGGAGGTGGCCACTTCGCTGCCATGATAGTATCACTGGCACCGAAGATAGGAAAGAATCACACTGGATTCGATGAGCGATCGGCGACCGTAATTGCGCACAAGACATTCCATAGGTACACCACGCGACGAAAACAGGGAGGTTCGCAATCAGCCAACGACAACGCAAAAGGCAACGCACACTCTGCCGGTTCATCGATCCGTCGTTACAACGAGACTGCACTAATCGCTGAAGTTCGTGAGCTATTATATAGCTGGAAGAACATGATCGATACCGCAGACTTGATCTTCGTACGCGCAACCGGCGCGACGAACCGAAGAACTCTTTTTGGTCCGTATGAAGGACAGGTTCTGCGTCATAATGACCCACGCAATCGAGGCTTTCCCTTCAGTACGCGGCGGGCGACTCAAAAAGAGCTGATGCGTGCGTTTGTTGAACTCACTCGAGTGAAGCAAAGTGCTATCGATGAAGCAGCGCTTGCTACTCTGGATTCTTCTCAAAAAGAAGCGGCTGCTGCGACACCAATCCCAGAAAAACCTAAGCCTAAGAAGCCAACAAAAGAAGAAGAGGCTGCGACATTACACACTTCACAGATTATACCCATGATTAAGCGTTCGAAAGTACCTGCGCTTCTCAACTACCTCAAAACAAACAACATCCCACCAAGCTTTAACTTTCTCCCCACCAACCACCACACACCAACGCCGCTGCATCTTGCTGCATCTCTCAATTCTGCTCCTATCGTCTTCGCGCTTCTGACGAAAGCCGGTGCCGATCCAACTCTGATGAGTGACGAAGCGCGGACCCCTTTCACGCTGACTGGCGACCGTGCAACCCGTGACGCCTTCCGTGTTGCCCGTTCCGAACTCGGAGAGTCAGCTTGGGATTGGGAGAAAGCCGGAGTGCCTACAGCCATCACCAAAGCTGAAGCTGACAAGCGAGATGCTCAAGAAAAGACCGAGAAAGCTGCAGAAAGTAAGGCTGAGGCTGACCGGCGGAAGGCTGAGACCGAGCGCGTACGGAAAGAAAGCGAGGCTGAAGAGGTCAGGAGAAAGGAGCAGAGGCTAGGCAAGGGCAAGTCATTAGGCGCGCTACCTGTCAAGACTGGAGCAGATTTGAGAGAGGAAGAAATGAGGGGCTTGACGCCAGAAGCGAGAGCTAGAATGGAAAGAGAACGGCGAGCTAGGGCTGCTGAAGAGAGGCTCAAGCGGATGGAACGTTGAAAGCGCTTCTATGGGACTCATAATTTCTTACCCGCGTGTTAGCCTATCGGGGAAGAAGACTTTCTGCACGCTCGGCTGTGTGAATGAGTTGTAAGAGTAACGCGAGATTCCACATGGTTGTATCATCGACTCTCGTCGTTCGGAACAACTAAATGATCACGAATCACACTTTGTGTCCAACGTAAACCATTAGCCCGGTTATTTCATACCCATGTTCTTCACATGGGTTGAATGAGGTAAACACAGCTACTTGCCCGAATTGTTTGGACATAATGAGCAATACCAATGGTAACAAGGGAGGGAACAAAGTGGATGGTGAAAACAGCACGGGTTGACATGGATCTCAGAGACCGCCAAGTGGGCATTAGAGATAGACCGCGAGAATAGACAGAACAGCAAACATAAGTGAAAGGGTCCAAGACGCTCCTGAACCAAACACATGACACCGCCAAAGCTGCCTCAGTCTTCGCATATTTTGTCTATTATTCGTCACAACAACAACTGCGTACCATACGTATTTTTCACCATGACAACTACTCTTCAACCTCGCACTAGCGAAACAACACCACTCTATCTCAGTATACGCCTAACGACTCACGTAAAGCAAAAGCCAACTATCGGTACCTGTGATATCGCTTATAGGGATGAGCCGTTGGAGCGGATACCAGACGACTATGTCCAGCCTAAACTGCAACACAACCGCTATGGCAACGTGATTCCACAACACTCGTGGGTGTATACCTCTGCCGTCTTCACACCTGCCCCTTACACTCGCTCCATGAAGATCACTATGCGATGCTACGATGATAAGGTCTCAGACACACGGCTATCCATCATTGCAGTCGATGAATATAAGCACGTGTCCGAAGCAGCTATGCGGGAGGATGTCGCTCGCTATGTCGATGCAGTAGTGCAGACTCCAGCAGGTCAACAAGCGCAGATAAGACAGGTGATGACTAGCACAAGCTATGATATTGACCTTCAAGATCCAGTGACCGGACAAAACAATTGGTGGAGTCTACTGCAATGGTCGGCTTGTAACACAAGGGCGTATCCAGTTGGAAGGCGTATTCCGGAACAGAACATGGAGAGAATGAGAGAAATTCGTGAGGACTGGGAACGGGAAACAGACTCGGAGGCTTTCGGATGTGTGGAGGAGGGAAAGAAGGATTGGTTGGAACTCCATGCTGTGTTGGACTTGGTCCAGGTGAACGCTGACGTTGAAGAAGAAACGATAAAGTTTGAAACGGAGGGGGACAGTAAGATGATCGGAATGAGTGCAGAGCATATGATATGGCTGAGAGAAAGACATGATCATGAGTTGGACGCGATCTACTACAGACTTCTAGAAGAAGGTCCGAAGTCTTCTTCCGGGAACAAGCTACACCTTACGCCATGATCGTAATGACGCTGATGAGGAGTAGAAAGATGATATAACGTTGTAATGTGTGTATGAATATCCAACATATCATGCCTTGACACTACCTCTCAAATCCAATGTTCGACGTTATATATGGTAGCAACTGTAATCTTTTGGGGTTCAATCTTAATGCCCAATGACGTCACCCCTTCAGTGAACTTCACCACAAACTTCCATCCTGTACTACTACTACTACCACTACTACTACCACCACCACCACCAAGGCCGATCGCAGCCTGTCTGAAAATGTCATCCACAGATGTTCACGACCAAGAAATAGACGCGCGATCCCGCTCGGCACTTGCTTCGACACGGCGCAACCTCCGCTACCTCTACGACCCGAAAACCGCGCCCAATGCCGTGTCTTCACGCCGGACACGCGCACTTCTCCGTGTTGTGCGGTCCGGAATCATTTTCGCTTTCTGGAAGCTTGTACGGTATGCGAAATACGTTGCAATTGGTTCGCTGGTGGCGACGATAGGTGCTGGGGCTTTTGGCACATTTGTTAGTGGGGCGGGATTCGTGTTAGCCCCGACGGGCATTGCGGGCACAATTTTCGCCGCGACAGTTTGGGGGGCGGGGAGGTTTGCTGTTAAGAAGGTGAAGAAGAGGTGGGGCATGGGACAGAATTATGAGGATGATGAAGAGGAGTGGGAGGACAGGAGACACACGGGAAGGAGGATCGACTTCGGCGCGGAGGCTATGCCTTGGTGAGCGATGGTTGAAAAAATGATGAGGGAGTGACGATTCTGCGATGCGTTTGTGATACGAAGTCACGGATACCCAGAATGTTGAGACAAGAGTGATCTGTGGACAAATTTGAGTACGACACCTTTCGACAGCCTAATTTCCTGCAACTACTTCGACCCTCCCATTCGCATAGCCATTTTTGCATATCCGCAAACACCAGCAAGATGCCACAGGTCCACCTTCTCTTCCGCATTAACACAATAGCCACGACACATCAACCTTCCTAGGATCCTTTTGACCAGCAACGGCCTTTCTTCCGTAGCATGGACGTGGTCAACACGGTCCTCTTGTTACGCTACAACCGCGCAATACTCTCCTGGGCCATCGTTAGATACTACTTTGCCGATTACTATACATATTGTCTCTGTATGGTCGCTTGTGAGGCATATCACGACCCCAGCGTAACCATATCTATCATACACAGCACCCTTTCTGTGGCCAAAGCGCAAGAGACTATGCGAAACGCGGCTGACATGGTTGAGGAGAGCGTCATAACGCGGCGGCAGGCGTGTGGAGAGGGTTGAGGCTGGGACGCAGGCGTAAACCAGGACGGATAGTTTATCAAATCGAAGATCACATGGGGAGGAGAGCACTGTGTGAAAATCGGCTCGAACACTAGAAGAACCTACTCATATCTCCTTGAGTTGATCGCGTGTGAGGATCTCACAGAAGAGCTAGCAAAGGACGTTAACAGTGAGGTGGGAGACTGAGACGAGGTCGAGCGAGGCGGCGATCAAGAGAGGGCGAACATCAAGACTGTGAGTTTGAAGGCGACGGAGGAAGAGCACGAGTACGGCGATTTGGACATGAGGCTATGTGAACAACTTGCCTATTAATTTGCTAGACGATGAATCTATCAAAGGTATCAAGTATAGGGCAAAAAAGATTTGGTATCATTCCGGAATGGCACATAAACTAACTCGACAACGTTTTTCTATAAGTAACATAAATGGGCGCAAAAGCGCTTCAATCAAGCGCCGCTAAATACAACCCTGACCTTGAGTACTCTAGTGGCCGTGCGAGTGTGCATGCCCTATTTGGGTGATAAGCGGAAGTAGCATGCCGATCATTACGATGCTTATATCGCTTTTGGACATGCTGCTGTTGCCAGGATAGGCATCCATGTAGCCGTTTGCTGTGGGATCTTCGTATGCGTGCTGAGATGCTGTGGCTTCGGACATGGAGTGCATGGCCACATACCTATACTAGATCAGTAAACGAGAGGATTTTGGTAGATTATGAAGGACTTACAAGAAAGTTCCGCCGGAAAAACATAACACCCAACCAGTGGCCCACGTCAGACCTTCATCACCACCCAAGTGGTTGCGTCCAAACATGTGTACAATAGCCCATGTAGCCAACGCGCCAGCTGGGGCCGCTAAACTGAAGAAAGCCAGATGTGTCCGCGCCTTTCGTTTCGAAAGCCCTTGCTTGAGAAGGACGGAGGTGAGGCCAAACGCTGCAGGAGCTTTGTGCAGCATAATCGCAAAGAAGATGACTAGCGATAGCGATGTTGATTCGGCTGTGGAGGAAGCACCCAGTGCGATTCCATCGGCGCATGCGTGTACAACCAGACCAATGGTGGCTGCTGGCGTCTTCTTCGTAGGTGGCGGGGGGAGACCGGGTGTCGCTAGGGGTGTTACTGCAGCGCTCTGCATACCCATTCCGTTGAGACTCAACGAAGATGAGTTGTGCGGTCCACGTGCCAGGTTGGACAAGGAGATATGCATTGGCTGGTACTTTGGTTTCGCGGAGGCCATGGCTTCTGGCAGATGCTCGACCAGGAACATCAAAATGTATCCTAGTATCAGTGCAACACCAATATATGCGTGTGGGCTGGGTCCGTCGTCATGGCTGGCTTCAGCATGTCCTTTAGCTGGCTCGTCGTCTTCGGGTGCGTGCACGCGGGTATGTCCCTCCTTGTGGCCTTCTGTCGAGTCGTCGTCTCCACCTTTCTGCGGATGGGGATCCTCGGCTGGCTTCTCTTTCTCCTTGCTGTCCTTGATCTTCTTCAGCTGCATGTCAATAGCAGCTTTGTCGCTAGTCATGTCTACGGCGCCCGGCGCCTTGACTGCTCCTCCAGTGAGCGAGCTTGTTTCCAGTTGATCCGCCCTCTTCCAGCTCGGGAACTTGGGTGGGTGAGGTATCTCTTTTTGTAGGCTCATGACGGACGGGATGGTTTGAACGCTTCGCGCACTATGCGAGTGTGTTTTGCTTCCTGCGCTGTACATGGTCTCGATGCCTTCGGGTATGATGACGATCAGCGAGGTGCCTACTAGCACACCGGTGCCGAGCAGGGTGATGATGCGCAATTGGCGGGTGGAGAGGTTAAAGGAGAGCGGGAGAATGCCGGCGAGGAAGGAGCTGTGCACGTCAGAGTTCAGTCGTGTACATTGCAACGGTTCGAGACATACGCAACAGCCATGACGGTGCTCAGGGCGAGCAGCATGAACAATCCGTCCCACATATTGTCGTCGTATGCAGTGTCGTCCCCTAAGTGGATGTACCAAGAAAGAATGCGCCGAGTGCACAGAAAAGAGAAAAAGGTTGTAAGCGGTTCAATCGACGCTATCCATGCCTCGAGCAGTCGGCCGTCGCAATATGGGTGAGGTGGTGGTGGTGTGGGCGGTGAGGGTTGGGGAGTTGTGAGGCTGTTGTGGACAAGTTGGTGGCATAGCGCAACTTTCTTGAGGCTTGGTAGCAGGGGCGGCAACGACGTAGTGCTACACTAAAACGCGTCTCCCGTCGCGCTAGTCGCTCCTTCACTTTGCGCGCTGCCTGTCCGCCGTCTAGCTGCTACACACTACTTCTCACCACCCCGCCCACGTCGCCGACACATCTGGCATCCACTTGACCCCGGTCGCGTATCATCTATTCCAGCAAACACTGCCATCATGGAGCTTGACTTGGACGACTGTAAGTTGCAGCACCCAACACCATAAGCAACGCGAGGGTGCAGCATGGACAGCTTTGGCGCATAGCTCGCTGACATTGCCTAGGGGTCACCAACTCCAACGAGTGCTTCCACATCAATCTCTACCGCACATCAAACGAGAACGGCCCAGAACGCATCCTCGACGAATCCTTCCACCCAAGCTTCACCCACACTGTCATCGAAGAGAACGAGACAATCGCGGGGTACAAGAACCCAAGCATCGAGCTTGACTTCCGCGCAAACGACCTCAACCCGAAACTGAAGATATCCTTTGACCAGGAGCTTGACCTCAAGAAGATCTCCCCAGATCTGAACCAGGTTGATCTATCCCCGGAGCTGTTCCGCGAATACCTGCCCGAGTCGATCGATGATGCTACTGGCGCTACGTCTTCAGATTGGAAACCACCGGGAGAGCGTATGAACACCTTCAGTCTGTACGGAAAACAGTATGAGATATGGAAAGCTCCAATGACTGATCCCGACGCTCGACGCATCTGGACGAATATGAAGATCCTCAACCTGCTATTCATCGACGGCGCGACATTAGAGGGCTTGGAGGACGAGGAAACGCTTGATCGTTGGTCACTGTACCTCCTGTACGATGTGACACCTCTGTCAGACGCATCGCTTTCCCCATACACGCTCGCCGGTTTCTCTACGTCGTATCGCGCTTGGGTCTTTCCCACCTTCGAGATTGCGCGTGCTACGAAGCAGCTCCCATCTCCAGCCGAAAGCAGTAATGGTGACGCTGGGAAATATACACCGCCTCGTCTGACTCAAGATCCCGAGACTTTCCTCTTTACCGACAAGCTTGATCTTCTCGAGACGCCGTCGAGGGAACGCATTTCTCAATTCCTCATCCTCCCTCCATATCAAGGCCAATCGCTCGGAAGCCGCTTGTACGATACCATCTTCCACGAGTTGGTGAATAAGCCCTTCATCTACGAGATTCCGATTGAGGATCCAAGCGAGGCTTTCGATGCCATGCGAGATTACAGTGATATCACATACCTTCGTAAACTTTCCGCCTTCAAGGACCTGTCAATCGCCTCAAATCTTTCCCAAGAGTCGTTGAGAAAGAATTCACCGATTCCGCGGGACCAAATCCTCGGGAACGGCAAAGACCTTGAGGAGCTTCGAGAGAGCACTAAGATTGTGAGCAGACAGTTCTACAGGATGGTCGAGCTTCATTTGTTATCAACAATTCCGCCAAACAATCGAAACCGTGCACGGATCACAAGGAAAGCGAAGTCTACCAACGAGAACGATAGAAAATACTACTTCTGGCGGTTGGCCCTTAAGCATCGAATCTACAGCCAGAATGCAGACGCGCTGGACCAGATGGAGGATGTCGCAGAGCGCGTGGAGAAGCTGGAGTCTGCAGTCGACTCGCAGCAGGAGGAGTTCGAGGAGCGTCTGGAGGGGTTGGAGAAGCGCCAAAATCTTGCTGCTGACGAAACGTCTGCTCCCGCAGTGGGTGCAAGAAGCAAGAGGAAGAGAGCGGTTGTGGCCGAAGACGACGAGGATGACGACTGGGAAGACATGGATGAAGTGTCAGTTGCTAGCTCAAAGAGGATGCGATCGTAGAACAAAAGGCTGTGACGGTGTCCGAGGTATCCAAATGAGGGCGGCGGCTTTCCTGGTTGATCAGGGTGTCTCGAAGATCGTAATCGGTGTCGAAGCCTTGCCCTGAGGTCTCATTGGTAGTTATAGTTTAGGCAGTATACCCAATCCACGAAATGTTCTCGCGCCATTACCAAAGACGCGTAATTGATACTCGGCTGGGTAACGATGCTATTTCTACGGCGATTAAAGGTTAATCTCCGCGCGGGGCAGAGCTACCCCACGCCCAAATTTTGGAATCTGAACGTCGAGCCTGAACCGCATCGACGCAGCGCAAACACAGTTACCCAGCTTTTCTCGTACAGTCTTCGGATAATTCATATACACGATGCCAGATCGTCAATTCAACCTCACTGTCCTAATCTCAGGCAATGGCTCAAACCTCCAAGCCCTCATTGACGCATGTGCATCCGGCGCCCTCCCTAACACGCGCATAACACATGTTATATCAAAGTATGTCGGCCTCTAAGCAAGATTCCTCGATAAAAGCCTAACATACCCGCAGTCGCAAAGCAGCATACGGTCTCGAACGCGCCAACAAAGCCTCGATACCAACAACCTATCACAATCTCGTTTCCTACAAAAAGAAACACACAGACGACAAGGCCCGCGAGGAGTACGACGGCGATCTTGCAAAAATCATTCTACATGGGCAACACCCACGCCCTGACCTTATCGTTTGCGCAGGTTGGATGCACATCGTCACCACTGCCTTCCTTTCACCCATTGCCGAAGCCGGTATCAAGATAATAAACCTACATCCCGCTCTACCGGGGGAGTTTGCTGGTGCGAAAGCAATCGAGCGTGCGTGGACGGCGGGTAAAGAGGACGGGTTGAAGAGAACTGGCGTTATGATACATGAGGTCATTGCGGAAGTTGATGCTGGAGACGCGATCGTTACACAAGAGGTAGAATTGAAAGAGGGAGAGACACTGGATGGTTTAGAGGAGAGGATTCATGCGGTTGAGCACGGGTTGATTGTTGAGGGAACAAGAAGGGTGCTTGGGGGTTTGGGGAACAAATCATGAGGAGGAATGGTCGTGGGTGCGATGAGTCAAAGATAGGATGTTATGATACCCAAAATGGATGATATGGACACATGTGTGAGCCAGGTGTGATGGGTTTTATGCATGAGGACTTATGCAATAGAAATCAAAGGATTATCGTGCGAGGTTTTAGGAGTTGTCATCTTCCTAACGTCATGAATTATGTGCAGCCAATACGAGTAGTCAGGTTCGAAAGTCACGAGCTTATGGCTACATCAGATTGTGGCCATACTCTACGATTTCATGCTCCTGTCACTTCTGAAAGGAAGGATGAGAATCTGAAGAGAACAAGAGTAGAGAAGGAAGTTATTGCAATACAATCGGATAGTTGAGTTAGATTAGCTATACCCGAAACACTCTATTCAAGTCTAACTACCCCCGCTACGTACTAAACTCGACTCAATATGAATTGCCGAGGAGATCTTCGGAAATGTGGTAGAAGCCGCTTCACTGAGTGAGTTTTGGATGTCCTGGGTACTCAGACCACCATGATGCACAGACTTAGTTCGAGGTAGTATAAACTTGGGGTCTAATCACAACAGCTTTCTTGGAAGTCATATTTTGCTCGAGTATGTCCGGTATTGAGCGGATGATGCGGTCGTCTGTAGGGAACATCGGTTTGTATAGCTTTTAACCAGCAACAAACCCTAGAACGTGCAGCAAGCTACTTCGCGAAAACAGGGTATTTTTTGTGTTGTCCGATCGTGGATTGGGCACTCGAAAAGACCTATGTGCCGTGAGAGCTTGTTGCTATATTTCCATCATCTACATATTCGAGTGCTTTCATGCTGCGACTGTCTAATCATCCTTCTTGAGATAGTTGACCAAGTCGACCATTTCAGATTGCGACATGGCGGAACTCATAGCTCGATATGCTTCGTACAGAATCCAGAGGGGGAAGACGACCCACAAGCCATTGAAGAATGCAAGGTACAGCCAACTGCTGCGTGTTAGTCAAGAACCACTACTCCTAAGCTATACGGTGTACGGGATTGGCAGCTGACACAGGCCGAAGGAACACGCCAGATTCGGCGTGATTACATTTACAGCTTGCATGTTTTGTGCGTTGTTGTGTTGAGTTGTGTGGTCGTGGTCGAGAGATGAGAAGTGGGTCCGCGGGAGATGGCGCACCGGACAGCGCATATGCAGGACCAGCACATCACTGCTCTTAGACCAGGAACGACACATTCAACGCATGTGAAAGTGTTCACTTTGTGTGCGGATTCGTAGGTGAACGCACATGAAGAAGACGAAATGGACGGTTGCAGCTGTGCAATGGACCAGAGGTGCGACGCAATCCTCCCACAACTGTTCAAGAAGATGTGACCGTGAAGAATGGAGAATACATGACGAATGTGAATCATGAACTTACAGATACATCCAATTGCTTGTGTCGAGATTGGGGCTTCCAGTCAGCCACTCAGGCGCGAAAGTCATCCAGCCTAATGTAGCGGTGAACCACGTGTCAGCCACATACTCGCAACAACGCAGTGTTGTCTCATCTCAACAATCCTCGGGCCGGGCCCACATCTCGCTTCACCAATTGTAACAGCTTCCACAACTTGCACATACTCCGCATTAACGAGAACAAAGTAATGAAAGCGTTTGTGACTCACCTCCGTATATCTCGCCTGTAGCCAGTACTATCATCCAGAACCACTTCTTCAACACACCTTTCTTCTCATCTCTCGAGAGAAGATAGCAGATCCAACATGCCAACGGGCCCGCAACAAAAACAGTCAGTATCTCGAGAGCCACAACCGTTAGATCCGTACCTCCCCATCGCTTGTCCGCTTTGGCATACTCCTGCCACAACCGACTCAATGGACCCGTCCCATAGTTCGCTCCATAAAGAAGATCTTGCCTGCCGAGCCAATACACGTCTGGAGGTGTGAAGAGCGTGACTTGAGGGTGGTTGCGAGATGCGGCAGAGAAAGAGGTGGGAAGCGAATACGTGACGAAGAAGCAATTCCAGAGGAAGGAGCCTTCGAATACAAAGTGGATGAGAGCGTCGAAAAGATGCCAGATGAAGAGTACGCGTATCTTGAGGGAAGTCGTCTTCGGCAGGACTTTTATCGAAGCACCATAAGCGCCACCGAGCAGAGCGAGTACAGCTAAGAGCGATATCACGGTCGTAGCGTCGATTTCCGGACCTGAGCGGGGAACAGGCGGCGGTATAACGGGCGGCGGCGGAGGCACTTTCTTGCTCCCGAAGAAAGACATCGTGACACGTTAAAACGACGAACACGGGACCACGTTGCGGCTCGGCTGGGACACAACTCGCTTGTGTTGTGGATGAATACGCGCTCGGATGCGGCTGTAGAAGATGATTCAGGGTCCCAGGGACGCTAACGAGCTTAGACCATGGTCACATGGCTGGGGAAGTCACGATCCAGAACCAATAGCTTCACAATCGGCGGTAGAAGGCATGCTCACGAGGTGCACCAAGGTGGATACATCGTGAGATTAGGGTAAGCGTTTTATGACATGTTTTTGCATTTACTGCTATATAGGGTCATAGGTCCACGTTTTCCGACAGCTTTCAACGCTGTTCTAACCGACCCAAGCAACAATGAGATTTCCAACGCCATATACGAACGAACGAGATATCGCACAATTGATATTACAGTCGACACAATTTAGACAACGACATTCTCGCATTCTTTGCCGCTCCTACCGCCTATGTACGAGGATTCGGATCAACGAGTCCTATGGATGATGAGAAAAGCGCTCCAAAACGCAAAACCGTCCCAAGCTTTTGCGAACACACAGATCAGGAGTGACCGTCAATAAACGCCGAAACCAGAGTGGGGTTGCTCATAGAGCATTACAACACCAATCTATGGTATGAGGAAGGATGAGGAAAGAATAAAGATGTTGGAGGAACGCCATAATGGGACCCAATGTACGCCGATGAAAAGACATGCAAGAAAGCCAACAGGAAGATGCTGCAAAGGAGCCGTCCGGATTATGCTGGATGAAACGATCGTCTCTAACAAGACGTCGCGAGGAACGCTAATCGCTGGCCCACAACGTTTCGTACCGTAGTGAAGAAGATTCGTGAGCGCTCAGTTACCGGCAGACCAGGAACATCCGCTCCACTCGTCCATCAGTCAGGTCGTAAGCGTACTTCGTGTCCAAAGAGATTCGTTACGCGGGAAAAGCAAGTATTCCGCAATTTCAGGTAATGCAGTGACTTCTTAAACGCAAGCCTGGGGTGTATGGCTACGCTCGATGAAGACGCCGCTTGGCATATTGTAGCCGTACTGATATTGAGAGGTGTATTGATCCTCGGGTGAGTAGCCGGTAAGAGGCCCAGACGAGGGTTGATGAGAGACAAAGGGTAATGAGCTTCGAGGGGTGACAAGGTCACTCGCGCCGTCAACCATGAGGGGCATGGCAGGCGATGGAGGACTGCTTGTAGCCGAAGACTGATTGCTTCCAGTAGTGTGGGTGAGCACGTAATCCTGGGCTCCGTCGCCATGTGCGTTCTTTGTTGAAGGCGTAGTGACGTTAGGAGAAGTTTTACCAGTGGGTGTGCCAAACTGGATGCGAGTCAGTTTCCGTCTAGGCCAAGCTACCAGGGTGCTGAGGTGGAGGTTGAGAACGTACAAAGCAGAACTTCTGGATCAACTCGTTGTACTCGGCAGACTCAAGATCAGGCTTCTCAAGCGTCAGAGAATCGGGGCGAGTACCAGGGATAGGGGCAGTAGAAGCAGGCGCCTTGACAGCGGGGGCCGGGCGGTCGAAGTAACCGTTGCTCATCTTGCCGTGGGTGTTTATCTTGAGTCCGCTGCGGTCACCAAGTGCCGTCTGGGCAGTGGAAAGAGCAGCCGACAGGGAGGCACCGAAGTCATAGCGAGAGGCAAAAGCCTGAGCGACTTGTGGACGAGATGAGGTCTGGGCTGTGTAGATGCTGCTACGCTTACTCCTGGGCTTGAGCTTGATCGACGAGTTGGGTGATTCAGCAATGATGGCACGGCCGCTACCAAACTGAAACCTGGTCTCGTTGTCGTGACCAAAGTCGTCGTCGAAAGAAGCAGCAGGCATGGAACGTGGGCGGGGAGCCAAAGGTGAGTGTCGGCTACGAGGAACAGCGCCGAGACTGGCTGTCGGGCGCTTACTCTCACGCTGCTTGATCTTCTTTGAGAAGTCAACCTGGTAGTTCATCGAGTTGTTGTTGTCCCAGTACTCTTGGCCATTAACCTGGTACCGAACACACAGTAGCAGAGTCTTGGATTCGAGGTTTGCCTGGTCAGCCAACTTGATATTGAAGTTGAATCGGTCGTAACCGTCCTCCTTCTGCTTCTTGCGAACATCCTGGTTGAACTCAGCAACCACCTCCGAGGTGGTCTTCCAGTAGTCTAATGTGAATCGAGCCACAACAAATTTGTGGAAGGAGAGGTTGGCTACTGCGATGTTGCCGACCAGCGTCTGATGATCGGAGGCAAGGAAGATTCGCTCCACGCGAACAGGTGCTGTTTGCCTCTCATATGTCTCTTGTGTAGGGAAGTTCATCAGCTTGATCTCCCATTCAGGTGTCTTGGAGCGCGAGTCTTCGCCGAAGGGATATTCGCTTTCACTGTCGTAAGTCTCAACGGGAGATGAGCCTGCACTAACAGCGATGGGCCGATCAACCTGGAGGAAATGCCTAACCTGCTCAATGTCCTCGTTGAAGTGGACTGCTTTGGAGTAGGTTGGGGTACCAGGCATGCTTGAAGGGCGGCGGCGGGACGGGGGTCGAAGAGCAGGCTTGACGAGCTCGCCAGACTTCTTGCGCAGTAGCGGCGGTTTTATCCGCAGCTCCTCGTCCTCGGCATCGCTGCCATCTGATGAGCTGATGAGTGTTTCAGTGTTGATGGGATGGATCATGTGTTGTGAAAGCATGATCTCGCTAGAGGACCGCGAGTGTGCAATCTTGCGTGCTTCGGCGGATAGTGTGCGCGCCACAGTGACAGGAGGTTGTGGCCTTGCCTGCTTTACGTTCTCCGTTGTTTCGCGAGTAGGCGAATGTATGCGTTTCTGGTCAATGTGCTGGAGTGCCTGTTGGAGTTCACGTAGGTCTCCGATGCTACGACCGCGCTCTTCATCGTCCGAGGAATCAGGAGGAGTCGTGATCGCACCTGACGGAATCAGAAGATCGTTCACAGGAGGAGGAGACGGACGGAGGCTACCATTAGTTGAAGGTCCATGGCGGCTAGCGTCAGACTTGACGTCTACGCTTCCAGTTCCTTGTTGGCCGTTTGCGGCGGTGTTGTCATTGGTGACAGAGGACGGCGACCGACGCGACTTGGCCAGGTATGAGGTTGATGAGACGGAGCGGGGCAGTGAGGGGCGTTGCGATGTAGCTGGCGAGCGGGGAGCCTGGTCGACATAGGAGTGGTTCCGGCTCAGGGTGGGACTGTTAGTCTTGGATGAGGCCGGCGACCGCTGGGAAGGGGGAGTGTAAGGCATTCGGTCGGCTTCGCGGGGGAGCGGGTCGAATGTGTAGTGGTGGAGTGACTTCAATGTGTAGAGAGCATTAAAAGAATTACTGTAACGAGGAGTCTGCGAAGGAGCGTAAGCGAGAGCACCACAACGAACAGACTGACAGAGTCCCGTGCCACAGCAGCTTGATGCGATGCGAGCCACTGGGTGTAGTCGTGGGGCGGGCTAGCTTACAGATATAGGTGAAGGAACGGCTTGCAAAGCTCGCTCTGGGAAGAAGCGGGTAGGGAAGGTTGCGACGTAGGCGGTCACAGCTAGCAAAAGCTGCAATGACGTCGGAATTGGCGGATGGGCTCGATCTGGGGGAGAATCGAGACGATGGTGAGGCTTTCGAAGGACCGAAAGTGTGCAGTATGGATGCGAGGCCGGTGGCTTCCGTATAAGCAAGCAGCGGGCGCTCGTACGATATAGCACTAGGAAGGAACCGTGGGCAAGGCGGTGGTGGAGTGAAGAGGCAGATGGGCCGTGTGTTAAACCAAGATGCACTCGTTGGCTGCAGCAGTCCTATTAAAAGGGTCTTCTGGCTGCAATGGGCCCGACAAGTGTTGAAGAGGAGGGATGGAGAAGAGTGTTGAGGGCGGTAGCGCTGAAGAAGCGTGCAGGGCCGCGACTATTGGGGAATCGTTGAACCAGGATGGTAGCGAAATCGAGGCCTCAAGCTTGGACGCAGGCAGGGGGGGCAGACCAGGAGCTGCAGCACCAATGCACAGGTGGGTCAAGGCCTTTTAGCTCAACCCCAACAGACCGGGGCACCACCAAGGATTTTCACCACGCAGCCAAGCGGCAGCAACCGGTTCTGACTACTGCTGCGAGAGGCCAACGGGAGCGGAGACAGGCGATGCGTCGTACGCTGGGGGGCGAAGAGAGGCAGGCCGACGGCGGCGGCTGCGACAAGAGGTACTTTGGGGTACGCCGACTACCTGGACTGCCTGGACTACCTGACTGTGCTATCGTATTGTAGTGGCGTCCAGGCAGGATTAGCAGATGATTCATGTTCTTTATCTCCCGACAACTAGCGAACGCGGCCTTGTCTGGCTGGCGCTGGCACGGCCACAGCTTGAAACGGTGCAACAGCGCGCTGCTGTTATGCTCACCCACGCGTAGGCGGCCAGCTCTATTACTCACACGCTGTCGCAGCCATATCGTACATGTCCGCCGCTGTTCGCTCGGATGCCGATGCCGCGCGCCTTCTCTCTACTCTACTGCATCAACCCAGCAAGTAGACATGGCCTGACAATAATAATAACAACAAGGCCGAGCGAACAGCCGTGGTGAACATCGTATTCAGCACTCGCAACTCAATCACTCGATCTGAGGTCAAACCGCATCGGCTCGGATGGGTTCGTAATTTGCCAGCCGTTGCCAGGCAATCGCTGGTCTCAGAAGCAAGCAACAACGCTCAAGCCATGCGAACAGGGCCCTCAGCGACATTGCGTGCACGTGCCATGTTCAAGCGAGGCTGTGATGTCATTGTTATCGCAACGAACCGTTTGACTTGCAAACGCTCGTCACTCCCACGCTTTCTACACATTCCAACGCTGCAATGCCGCAACATCCTCAGGAGAAGCACGTCGTGGTACCTGAAGCCATCGGAGCGATAAGGGTGCGGCTTGACAATCCGCCCGCCCTCCCATGAAAATTTCCCCTCCGCGACGCTCAACACAGCGAGATCGCCGGTGCCGCTTGCCGTTTGAGAAAGGGCGGTCGGGCCAATGCCAATCAAATATCGGAGGAGAAGGGGAGGCCTAGTCGCCATCCCAGTCGCAGTTCACTGGCCCCTGCGGCGAGTGGCTGACTGCAAGCGACCTCTCATGATATCTCTGTAAGGATTGTTGTTGTTACGATAGCCTCGCCGTCCACCGTGCTCTGCTGCAGCCCATGGACTACATCAGTACCCCATCTTCGTCATCTTGACAACGGCGGGGCTCTGCTCGGACATCTTGCAGCCGTCGCGCGACAAACTGAAACCGCGTCGCTGCGGCATCGCTGACCCGACCGGTTCGGCATGGCCATCTTGAAGCATATGCCATTGGCTCTCTCTAACAGACCGGCTTCATAGCTTCCCCGCATTATCACCACCGGCCCAGTCGAGCCTCGTATGCAGCTAAGCCCATCGCAAAAGCATGTACGTGTCGTGGATGAGCTGATCTCCTGCAACACATGTCCGCGCAAAGGGTTCCTTAATCTGGCGCGCCTACGCGTGGCCGTTGGAGCTGTCCATCGTTCATGGGCTGACACGCTGAGTACAGGCGGCTCGCCTCAGACCCGACGCGACGCTGCACTGCAGTGGCTGAGCGCCTAATTTGTTTTGGCAACCCTCCAGTGCACTGACAGATTGAGCCTCGCCCCGCTAACTTTCTGACAACCACGGTTCTTATCTTGCTGGAGATTGCTCTATTGAAAGCTAACACTGGCCAAACCTTGACTGTAATCAGACGTGGGCAAGGCGGAATACGGGTCGCGGCGCAATTACAGAAACCTACTGCACGAAAGCAGGCTTCTCGCCAGGCCCTTTGTCGGAGATCAAGATTTCCATGCTGCTCGCAAGGTTATTTCGACAATTTCGATCCTGCCCAGCTTGAAACGTTGCCTTCGGAAGGTCGCGACGTAGCGAAGCTGGCCAGAACGAGGCCCACCGGGCACGCTAGCCCCCATGCTGACCAGCGCTCTGGCGTGATCCACTTGGCGTCATGTCAGACTGCTGCTCCCATCTGGCAGAATCCGAGAGTTCCCTCGACTCAGCTTCCGCGGAGCAACCCCCTCTACTCACCGCCCGACAGGGTCCGAGCCATGTTATCATCGATTTGCTCCAGTTTGTCGATCTCCGCACGCTCATCGAGCGGGGCATGGCCCAGTTCCGCCTCATACTAACCCGCTTTCCGATGTACTCCGCGACATCATGATCGCGAGAATACCACGGAGCATGAGCAGCGCATTGCTGAGCACGACTCTTTCTGTATCACATTAAACAAGTATTGATGTATTAAACGCTTCATACCTGCCGAAGGATGTGAAGCAAATTACTTCCGCCTTCGTCTCGCTCCTAGAATCGACGACTCCTGGAGTGCCCCACGCGGCTCTGAATGGATGCAGGCCCGCAGCCGCACACTGGTTCACTACTAAAAATTGCACTTTCGCCGTCATATCAAGCGGGTCCAAAGTCTGGTGGGTTTGCTGGTCTGTCAAGCGAGACGTCACTCAATCGCAGGACCAACCTGATGGGATTATTATCGTGGTACGCGACAGACATGTCCACAAAGAAACCGAATGGAATTCCCCGATGATTTTCTCTGTGCTCAACAGATGAGCAACGCAGATCTACTAGGAAATACTCCGTGCGAAAACGGGGCTGTCGGTGCTTTGCTGGGCGCGTAACGCCAGATTGCCTTGTTGCCAGCTTTCAATAACGCTGCCCAAGGCCGGATACAGCGAAGCGATTAGGTTCCAGTGTCCACTTGTCAGAATATTATTCACGACAACGACCATTGGGAGCAATGCCACGTACCATCTGGCATGTCACGGACCGCAAGAACTAAGAATGGCATCCCCACACAAACGGCAATTTGCTTTGAATACCGACTGCTTAGCAAGATCACGATGCGTGACGTCAAATTTCACCTTCCGGATGACTCTTGCAAAAGAAAAACTGGATATCCCACTCATTTTCGCCTGCCGCGCGCAGGAATACCCTACCCATCAATACTGCAACGCCGATGTTTTGTCAGCGCCTGTCCTTGACAGCCCTTCACCGCTACTTGGCCGTCCATTTTCATTGTTGCAAACTTCACATCCACTCAGAGTTCTGCTTGTTATTGGACGTTCTTCCAAATGCGGATACAGGCAGAGTCTCATGACTTCGAGTCAAGCAAGGTGAAGAGCCGTCGCATCCGTGCAGAGGGATGTGGCAGACGTCTCCCCGTCTGTGCCCCACCCCACGATCTTTGAACTTCCGGGCCGAAAACACTAAGCTATCCACCGACAAAACTTCCAGCAAAGGACCGATGATGATCGTGATCACCAACTTTGTTCGCACTTCGCAAGTCGCGGACGGCACCAATATCGATGGCCTGACAATCTCGGGTGAACCGGGCGTAGCACATTATGAGATTTACGATATGATCGCACTTCACAGTTTGATGTTTGATATTCGCCGACGACAACGGTACCAAATCGAGCTACTTGACGTGTGGACTCTGGCTCCGATGCTCGATTTCCTGTATTAGAGCTGCGAACGTTGCGCACGTGGCAGCAACACACCTGAACAGTCGCTGATCCGTTTTGGTCGACTGTGGGAACGACGTCTTCTACCAAACACTCTCACATAGCTGTACCTACAGCGACGTGCCATTTGTACGGAGCATAAGTTCCGACCAGTCGAACTGGAAGTCGGAGACATTGAATATGCAGGGCAGAGGTTCGACATCATCGTGCGCGTACAGTAGTCTTACGCCCCCTTTCTACATCTGTTCGATCTACAGGCTACATAATCCTTCAAACGCACACATCATCGTTCCATACATACTACGACACCATCAGGATCTGTTATCAGGAGTTTGGAACGATGACCTGGAAGATTGCTCCTTCCCTTAGTGGCCTTAGCTGGGCTGCCCAAATTCCGGGTGGCTTATGCTGTACGACAGAATACTATCTGGGGGTTTTGTCAGCCAGTAGAAGGAACCTCTAACATGAGACCAAACTCGTTGCGCGACAGCTCGGCGATAACACCAACACCATCAGAGGTTCAGATCGCGGGGTAGGTCGCAGCCACAGATTAGAGATGATACTCATACAGCATGATCCGTCCTGATTAGGTTCTTTTGAGCAGGTTCTTGCGGAATGCGGCGTCAGAAATCTTGAAAGCAGACACTCATTCCTCCCTTCCTGATAACGGCTATCTCGGCATCATTACATTACGCGAAGCATATCAGATTGTTCTAGCCCTTCTCGTCTGACATTTCTCATGTTAT